TATACATACTGACAAAACATGCTGTTTTAGACAGTTCGATTTTCGAAACAATTTTTGAGAAGTTTCAGACGAGAAATTATAATTTCGTTGTGCGAACACCTTTCAGGCAAAGCAAACGGATAGTTGGTTCGTGCGCACTTACAATTCACATAGCCATGTGTATACGCGTACTGCGTGACGCGCTTGTTTCACAAGTTGAATATTTTTTTTGCCGCCTACGGCGGTCGCGCGCTACTGCAAGTGAGAGGGCTCTGGTTAGAGCAACACTTACAACTTAACTCACTTTTAAAACACAACGCACTTTACGCACGAAACGACCTAAATTCATGCACTTTTAGGCACCTTTAGGGATTTTTTACCAAATAAAATCAAAATAGCACACACACCATCGGTCACGTCATTTCAATCATTATCTAATTCTATATCAGCAAAATCTATTTTTAGCTAATTAGCTAATTATCCAATTTAATGATAGTTTAACAACAAAATTTGTTGCAAAAGAAGCTGTTTATTATCAAAAGATAAACATTAAACATCCTAGTTATTGTTAAACTGGAACCTTTTGTGACCTTTACAGTCGGGGATATAAAAATTAGCAACTACCTAGCAACTGCTAGGCAAAAGGCAGTTAATATTCATCTTAAACATTTGGTATTCATGATCGAAATACCAAAATTTTCCAACTCTTTATGAATACGACTTAATACTTTAATACGTCCGGACAATATCTTTGTCGCATAGTTTCAGTGTAGTAAATACTGTGTTTCGTTTCGTTTCGAATTCAATCGATTATTAGATATGAGAATCAAGCTTTACATTTCAGCCATGCAAAATTATGTTGACATTATTTTGATATAAAACAGATATGATGGGAAAAATGACATGGTATTGCAATATCAGTTGCATAATGTGTGGATGGATGAAAATTAACTAAACTAGAAAAGTAAACTAGGATATTTAACAACTTATTCGGCTGAGCCAACGTACAGCAGGAGACACATTAAAACTACAAACAGTAGCAAACAATCAAATGTATAATATAATTGTAAAAATATGATTGATATCAATTATGTCTCAACTCAGAGGAAGAAAAAAAAAACAATCGGACGGACTGAATTATAACCAATGAGATATACAATTTTATGAATTTTAGAAAATTAGACTTAAGAAAATTATTCCAGCCAGGCTGTGTCGGCAGCCCTGAGGTAAACAAATTAAGAAGTCCGCTGATCTGACTGCTGTATAAATAGTGGTTGAATATAACTATGCGGGCCTAATATGAAAATTAGCTGGGAATATAAATAACAAAATGTCTTGCAGAACAAGCGTAGGGACTAAAAAGCTAAAAGAATAGGCGACTGATCATAAATATTCATCCTTCACTATCTTCTTATCTTTATAACGCTCCTGACCCAATATTTGACACATAAACGCACTTACAAATCCTCATTTGTCTGCAATAATTTGTATCAAACCCAAAAACTTGGTTGAGGTTTAAACTAATTAGTATTACAACGTAATTATTACACTACAAATCTATCACATTTATTGAGCCATGTAAGAACTTAAAAAGTAATCGTAACGTCTCGCCGAAGTACGTTGACAAATATTTTTTTGAAAATTGAGTGGAGACTCTCACTTTGTTCGAAAACATTAATTATATGACCGACCCCGAAAACAGATTATTACGTTACAATATACTCAATAAATGTAGTAGATTTGTAATGTATAATTTAACTCAATATTTCAATTTGCTGTGCGTATACGCGTATCTAAATCAATAAATCTGCGCGTGCGCAGCTGTAGCTTGCATTGCAACTGCAAAGAAAAATTAGCAATGTAATGGGTACTGTAATACTGTCTCTAAAAATATCATCGAAAATCTGCAACGTCATTAAAAATGCCAAAGAATAGAAGTAGATATTTTTAAATTGAATAGAGCATGGTTTGGAATATTTCCAATTTTTCTTTGCTGATTGAAATTTATTTAATTAAAATTAACATGATAATTTAAGGCTTAAGCCCATCAAGAGCAAAAATGAAAATTCGCAAGTCGAACGACTGCTGAATTATGTCCCACTTATCATTATCGAGAGAATAACTATCGGAACTTAGCATCAGAACTCAACGAGTATATTACTTGGTGGTCATACATCAGTATTCCGACGGCAGTACGGCGGCAGTACGGCGGCAGCACGGCGGCAGCACGGCGGCAGCACGGCGGCAGTACGGCGGCAGCACGGCGGCAGCACGGCGGCAGCACGGCGGCAGCACGGCGGCAGCACGGCGGCAGCACGGCGGCAGTACGGCGGCAGTACGGCGGCAGTACGGCGGCAGTCCCGCGGCAGTGCCACGGCAGTGCCACGGCAGTATAGTGACAACACTTATATCAGACTTTTGATCCAATTATTTCATGAGTTTGATGATTAGTTCACATTGATTTGTCAATTAAAGAGACGATTTTGAAGATTTGTCAATTAATATGTAATATATTTGGATAAATCAATATTAGTTGTAAAGAAGTTCATACAATATCACTATAACTTTAAATCAGTAACTGTCACCCTGGAGCAATAAAATAATTTACATTTAGAGAATCTTTCCAGCAGCAATTGCGAGTCGTTTCTTCTCCAGAAAGTCACTCTGCTTGAGGATAGAAGGATCTTTCAGGGATTCGTTTCTGTTTCAGGAACTTTGAGAGGCTGATGGAGGTATCAGGACGGTTGGCAAAGTCTCTGTGCACTCTGTTGTAGGAGGATAAGGCTTCGCCAGCTACAGAGGAGCGGGAGTAGGTTTCATCAGTGTTCAGATGGCGTCTACTAATACTATGTGGTGGTGAGGAACTGGAAGAGGGTCGGGTAGGTGTAGCCACAGGTGTTACTAGGCGAGCATTATCAGTATCTGGTGGAGTAGCTCCTCCTCGTCTAGAAGGTATAACAGCTTGAGTGGCACCAAGAAGGATAGTAGGATCGTTGGTAGGACTAGGAGAGAGGGGACGAGATCTCTTTCGTGTTGGGGTAGCCAGTAGTGTCGTTCGATGTAAACTGCAGAGGGATATGTTCAGCTGTAGTTCTCCAAAAGGTAGTCGAGTGTAGTCCTCCGTCCTGCAATCTTTACAATCTCTGAGTTTGATATCCTGAAAAGTAGACGGACTAGGGATACTGGGGGATGATGTAGTAGAGCTGAGAGAGGAATCCATTCTTCAAGGTTTAGGTGTTCAGATGTTGACGATAAAACGAGTTGATGACCGCAACCATTGAGTTGACTGCTATATATACAACATGGCCTCACCTTCTCTGGTCGTTAGGGTCTTGTTAGTTCATGTGATGCGCTCAGATCATATTACGAGTGTCTCACTTGCGATCACGTTACTTGCGATCACGTTACTTTTAATATTTTATTGCTCCAGGGTGACAGTTACTGATTTAAAGTTATAATGATATTGTATGAACTTATTTACAACTTATTGATTTCTCGAAATATGTTTTTAATTCACAAATCAATGTGAACTAATCATCAAAATCATGGAATAATTGGATCAAAATTCTGATATAAGTGTTGTCACTATACTGCCGCCATACTTCCGTGGCACTGCCGCGGGACTGCCGCCGTACTTAATATGTTTTAAATTCACAAATCAATGTGAACTAATCATCAAAATCATGGAATAATTGGATCAAAATTCTGATATAAGTGTTGTCACTATACTGCCGCCGTACTGCCGTGGCACTGCCGCGGGACTGCCGCCGTACTGCCGCCGTACTGCCGCCGTACTGCCGCCGTACTGCCGCCGTGCTGCCGCCGTGCTGCCGCCGTACTGCCGCCGTCGGAATACTGATGTATGACCTACTTGGTGTACCGGCTTTTATTTTAAAATCTTGCTGCATGTTATTGCCGGATAGTGAGCTGATGTTTTGAAAAATCTGATATCATGGTCATGATCCTCATCAACAAACACAAATTACCATACTCAAACCGCTCTTGGTTTCTCTAAAAATGGCTTCATGTCTTCATGCCAACCACCTGTTAATTAAATCCTGATTGAACGGACATTGTAGGTCACAGGACCTAGTTAGATAGGACTCAGTTTAACACTGATGGCCGGCCGTGTACACCAATCTAATGATCCAATTATTTGAACCCTAAACTTCAAATAATCCCAGGATCTTGGTATTCTATAGCTGATTTGTAATACTATCCCAGCTGCTGTTCTATAAGAGTATTAACAGAGCTGCTGTGATCTGGAATCAGTATACTGTAATCACTGTACCTTTAGTTTCACTTGCTACAACTCGATAAATCAGAAATGTTTTTTCTGCAATCTAATTCGGATTTCATGTTAAATGTATCATGTGTATAGTGCATTAAAATTGTTATTTCAATTAATAATTCCATTATGGTTTTAATTTTTCCTGTATAGATTTGTTTTTGAGATGATTTAGTTGTTTGTTGCTGGATATTTTCACCTCGCCCTTTAGAACCGCTCTGACATGGTTAGTACCTGACACTTGTGTCAGTTGCTAACCATATGGGTGGTATACTAGCACATTATTTCATTTCATACTTCATTCATTGGTATACCTGTACGTGATCTACAAAATGAAGCTGGATCAAACCATATCCCGCTCATAATATTAAATCCGTTAAATCCATATACATAGAGAATGTCTAACCAGATCCAAATTGCAAAATAACTAAAGTGCAATATCTTTAGCCTCACAGAAAGTCACCAGACTACAGTGTACCTACGTTTTATAGGATTATATAGGATATTTTATAGGAATACCGCCAGTTCAATTAATTCAACACTTTAGCCACATTAATTAATAGGTCAGCCTTTGTCATCCTCCACATTTCCCAGAACAAACCAAGAACACCATCGTTCACATACACCCTCAACCATCCCTCATTTTATTAACTAGTGCAGTTGTAGACCTGGTGAGAGCTATCAAATAACCACCTGTCCTATGGAGTAACAAACTGTAACCCAAAGTAGCGCAACAGGGTGGCGCATCGTGTTCGAGCTACAATTTATAACGACCTTCAACTTTTCTTCCGTACTTTATACCTGAATTCTGGTTCTTAATCTTTATTTCTCTTTATAGTTGTGGTGGTTTTATTGGGTCGTTATTTTTAGCAGCTCGCCGTGATTTTATTCAACTGAGTGTTCGAACTACCATTATTTAACATTTCCTTGACACTGAATAAAGTCCTATCACGTTGCAGGTAAAGGGTTTTACATTTTGATTTGATTCCAATTTTACCGTGTCGATGATGTGAACAGCGGACTGTGCTGTGGCACATGATAGATGACGTAACCAAGGGATACCTCCATTTGAGTGTGGCTGGCTACCTATCATTTTTGCACGATATTTGATTACAACCTAATCACCTTGGTGATCGATATGATCGATATTATATCTTCATATCAGTTAGGTGTATTTGATAACCGTGGCGGCCGAACTAAAAAGCTGTCTTGCCCACTCGTCTTCCACGTCCCAAACGGTAAGTTTTATTTAACACTTAAACCTCAGCTGCAAAAATGGTGGTCTTTAAATTTCTACCCAGAAAATGCGAACTTTCAGTGGCCAGATTTTAGTGGCCAGCTATAGCTCTTTAAAATGTGGGACTGAATTCTAATGTTATGAATTAAGACTGGTTCACGTTTCGTAGCGGAATTGATTCAGTCAAGTAACCATTCTAGATTAAAATTATCAAAGAAGATTTGATAGAAATACCGCTAGCTTGATAGGTTGATAGATTGATAAAACTCTTTAGCCACATAAACCAACTGTTCCCACTACAAACTAAAACCTCTCCCTCCAGGACGATGAAGACAGGGATGTAATCAGCAAACTAACCCGGAACCGACCTGTGGACTTCTCTTCCGGCCTCTGTGACAACCTCCAAAGTGAGTTACAAGAAGATAACTCTGACACCGAAGAGCTCAGTGACTTTGATTTAAGTTTCACGGGGTCTGGTCTGTCAGATGTGCCCACTGACACTCCCACTGACACACAGACAGATGGAAATGAGGAGACGTCCAGTGGTAACAAGAAAAGAAACATGTCCCTATAGACGCTGCAACCAAGGAGAAGATCAGACAAGAGCTGACAGGGCCGAGCAAGTTTGATGATCCAGCTATGAAGAAGATCATGGAGAAGAGAGCTATGAGATACAGTGTAGCGGTCACTAGCGGTCATGGTGGTCGTCATTTGGTGGAACTGGGAACTTCTGTTCAGGCTACTGTCGCAAGAAATCTTTCAAATGACGTATTTACGAAGAGCAAGGACAAGAATTCGGATGATTACCTTCAGATGTTGAGGGAACGGAAGAAATCTCGGGTTCAGCTCACCAAGGCCCACACAATCGCTGAGAAAAGTAGTTCTGATGGACAGATCGAAATCGAAATAACAGACACAGAGATGAGCCTTAAAAAACAAACTCCAGCAAGGAGATCATCTCCAGGATCCAAAAACTTAGTGTCTCCAAGAGACATGGTTTCTCCACCAAAACTCAATCGATCAATGCCCATGTACTCATTTGATGAGTTACTATCAGAAGAAGAGAAAGAAGAGAGTGACGTGATCTCCAAGATGTTAGGAAGGACTGCTCTACTGACAGCTCCTTCAAGGAGTAGAAAAGTCAGTTTACAAGAGGAACTCTGTGGCAGGACTCCTCAGGTTTGTAGTTTAAATTTTATTTTATTTTCCCTTGCAGACAATCTGTTCCTCGTGCATCGGCCCAAGCTCCATAACCATTTCGTTTACAGATATTACCGCTGAACCTACTTCATCCCTGTAAACTCCTCAGGCTCACAGATCAATGAGAACCTCGGTTGCCGGGGATATAGTGAAATCTGCTGACTCCTCGCCCGTCAACAAAGAACCGATCAGCGCCGGTAATCACGGAGGAATGGATAACATACCTGGACTGATCATTCCTGATAAGTGGAAACAAGGGTTCGACCCTAAAAAGGTATATATTCTCTATAATCTGTGCTCGAGATTTCGATAGTTTTGCGAGGTTTTTAATCGCATTTAAGGTATAATCATCTAACGCATGATAATATGAATAAATCATAACCTCGATCAAATATAAAGGATCAAATCATTTTAATGTGAACACTATCATTTTCATTTAACGTTTTCTAAGTGCAAACACAAACTTTCAGATTGAAGAAGAATCTTCTGACGAATTGAGTTCAGATTCTGAGGATTATACTTTATAAATAAACTTGAAAGATCGACAATCTTAGGTTCCGCTACGCTGTCAGCTGTGTGCTAAATTTGCTAGCTATTAGCTACATTTGCATTATATATTAATTTTCTGCTATGCATCTGGCTAGATCGCTCCATAAATAGAACTGCTAAATACATAAAGCCATTATTTTGATGTTCAATCATTCAATGTTTTGATGTTCACACAACGTTTTGATGTTCAATCTTTCAATGGAAACATTTTCAAACTGAATGGACCACGTTTAAGTCGAGTTTTATTTGGGGTTTTGATAGATGTGGTGGAATTTTCATTAAATTTCTTTTTATATACAAAACTGTTATCATATTTTACTGATTTTTCAATTAATGTTTACTCTGTAACTATGGTTTGTTTTATTTTGACCCAAACACAAAGAAAGCGAGCATTGCTTTCTTTGTGTTTGAAACCTTTTCGTAAGTTAAACAGAACAAATAAGATAATTTTAATTTAATTTCATAAAAATTAGAGGTTTGTAAAAACTCGACTTAAACGTGTCTCATGTATACATGCTTGCAAAGAATATCAGAGATCTTTCAAATATCATTACTGCGACTCATATAGTTTAGAATTGTATAGGTTCATTTCCAATGTGAGTGTTGCACGCCTGTCTAGATTAATAATAATATGTGACGGCGTGTCATGGCCGACACTGGACCATGCTTTATATACGCCTTAAGTGAGTTGTTAATGTGTCATGTTAGATGACAACAAGTAAGCGTATACCGTTAACCGTTGAAATTATGTTTCTTTGATCTCCTAATAGCGTCAAACCTAATTCCTGTCCTCATCTTGCTCTCCAACATATTTGTCTTAAACTGTGAGAACCCGCATAAAACAGTCGTTTTGTGCCCTTTTGTACTGACATCTGGTATCAATGTAACTCTGTTCCATTTCTCACAATAACTGACGTAAGTACAACCCAAACTGATGTGTATGCACTGTCAACTACTAGATAATTCAGCAGAACAGTAGGTGCTCATTGACCCGCACCCTAGTTGATATGATACGTTAACAGGGAAAAACAAGTTCTCAGGTTGATGCAGTAGGGTAATTAGCAGTTTCTTATCCCAGTTGTCAGGGTGATGCAGTAGGGTAACTAGCAGTTTCTTATCCCAGTTGTCAGGGTGATACAGTAGGGTAACTAGCAGTTTCTTATCCCAGTTGTCAGGGTGATACAGTAGGGTAACTAGCAGTTTCTTATACCAGTTGTCAGGGTGATGTAGTAGGGTAACTAGCAGTTTCTTATCCCAGTTGTCAGGGTGATGCAGTAGGGTAACTAGCAGTTTCTTATACCAGTTGTCAGGGTGATGCAGTAGGGTAACTAGCAGTTTCTTATCCCAGTTGTCAGTGTGATACAGTAGGGTAACTAGCAGTTTCTTATCTCAGTTGTCAGGGTGATACAGTAGGGTAACTAGCAGTTTCTTATCCCAGTTGTCAGGGTGATACAGTAGGGTAACTAGCAGTTTCTTATCCCAGTTGTCAGGTTGATGCAGTAGGGTAATTAGCAGTTTCTTATCCCAGTTGTCAGGGTGATGCAGTAGGGTAACTAGCAGTTTCTTATCCCAGTTGTCAGGGTGATACAGTAGGGTAACTAGCAGTTTCTTATCCCAGTTGTCAGGGTGATACAGTAGGGTAACTAGCAGTTTCTTATCCCAGTTGTCAGGGTGATGCAGTAGGGTAACTAGCAGTTTCTTATCCCAGTTGTCAGGGTGATACAGTAGGGTAACTAGCAGTTTCTTATCCCAGTTGTCAGGGTGATGCAGTAGAGTAACTAGCAGTTTCTTATCCCAGTTGTCAGGGTTATACAGTAGGGTAACTAGCAGTTTCTTATACCAGTTGTCAGGGTGATGCAGTAGGGTAACTAGCAGTTTCTTATACCAGTTGTCAGGGTGATGCAGTAGGGTAACTAGCAGTTTCTTATCCCAGTTGTCAGGGTGATGCAGTAGGGTAACTAGCAGTTTCTTATCCCAGTTGTCAGGGTGATGCAGTAGGGTAACTAGCAGTTTCTTATCCCAGTTGTCAGGGTGATGCAGTAGGGTAACTAGCAGTTTCTTATCCCAGTTGTCAGTGTGATACAGTAGGGTAACTAGCAGTTTCTTATCCCAGTTGTCAGGGTGATACAGTAGGGTAACTAGCAGTTTCTTATCCCAGTTGTCAGGGTGATACAGTAGGGTAACTAGCAGTTTCTTATCTCAGTTGTCAGGGTGATACAGTAGGGTAACTAGCAGTTTCTTATCCCAGTTGTCAGGGTGATACAGTAGGGTAACTAGCAGTTTCTTATCCCAGTTGTCAGGGTGATGCAGTAGGGTAACTAGCAGTTTCTTATCCCATTTGTCAGGGTGATACAGTAGGGTAACTAACAGTTTCTTATCCCAGTTGTCAGGGTGATGCAGTAGGGTAACTAGCAGTTTCTTATCCCAGTTGTCAGGGTGATACAGTAGGGTAACTAGCAGTTTCTTATCCCAGTTGTCAGGGTGATGCAGTAGAGTAACTAGCAGTTTCTTATCCCAGTTGTCAGGGTTATACAGTAGGGTAACTAGCAGTTTCTTATACCAGTTGTCAGGGTGATGCAGTAGGGTAACTAGCAGTTTCTTATACCAGTTGTCAGGGTGATGCAGTAGGGTAACTAGCAGTTTCTTATCCCAGTTGTCAGGGTGATGCAGTAGGGTAACTAGCAGTTTCTTATCCCAGTTGTCAGGGTGATACAGTAGGGTAACTAGCAGTTTCTTATCCCAGTTGTCAGGGTGATGCAGTAGGGTAACTAGCAGTTTCTTATCCCAGTTGTCAGTGTGATACAGTAGGGTAACTAGCAGTTTCTTAGTTCAGTTGTCAGGGTGATACAGTAGGGTAACTAGCAGTTTCTTATTCCAGTTGTCAGGGTGATACAGTAGGGTAACTAGCAGTTTCTTATCTCAGTTGTCAGGGTGATACAGTAGGGTAACTAGCAGTTTCTTATCCCAGTTGTCAGGGTGATGTAGTAGGGTAACTAGCAGTTTCTTATCTCAGTTGTCAGGGTGATGCAGTAGGGTGACTAGCAGTTTCTTATCCCAGTTGTCAGGGTGATACAGTAGGGTAACTAGCAGTTTCTTAACTCAGTTGCCATGGTGATGCAGTAGGGTAACTAGCAGTTTCTTATCCCAGTTGTCAGGGTGATACAGTAGGGTAACTAGCAGTTTCTTATCCCAGTTGTCAGGGTGATGCAGTAGGGTAACTAGCAGTTTCTTATCCCAGTTGTCAGGGTGATACAGTAGGGTAACTAGCAGTTTCTTATCCCAGTTGTCAGGGTGATGCAGTAGGGTAACTAGCAGTTTCTTATCTCAGTTGTCAGGGTGATACAGTAGGGTAACTAGCAGTTTCTTATCCCAGTTGTCAGGGTGATACAGTAGGGTAACTAGCAGTTTCTTATCCCAGTTGTCAGGGTGATACAGTAGGGTAACTAGCAGTTTCTTATCCCAGTTGTCAGGTTGATGCAGTAGGGTAATTAGCAGTTTCTTATCCCAGTTGTCAGGGTGATGCAGTAGGGTAACTAGCAGTTTCTTATCCCAGTTGTCAGGGTGATACAGTAGGGTAACTAGCAGTTTCTTATCCCAGTTGTCAGGGTGATACAGTAGGGTAACTAGCAGTTTCTTATCCCAGTTGTCAGGGTGATGCAGTAGGGTAACTAGCAGTTTCTTATCCCAGTTGTCAGGGTGATACAGTAGGGTAACTAGCAGTTTCTTATCCCAGTTGTCAGGGTGATGCAGTAGAGTAACTAGCAGTTTCTTATCCCAGTTGTCAGGGTTATACAGTAGGGTAACTAGCAGTTTCTTATACCAGTTGTCAGGGTGATGCAGTAGGGTAACTAGCAGTTTCTTATACCAGTTGTCAGGGTGATGCAGTAGGGTAACTAGCAGTTTCTTATCCCAGTTGTCAGGGTGATGCAGTAGGGTAACTAGCAGTTTCTTATCCCAGTTGTCAGGGTGATGCAGTAGGGTAACTAGCAGTTTCTTATCCCAGTTGTCAGGGTGATGCAGTAGGGTAACTAGCAGTTTCTTATCCCAGTTGTCAGTGTGATACAGTAGGGTAACTAGCAGTTTCTTATCCCAGTTGTCAGGGTGATACAGTAGGGTAACTAGCAGTTTCTTATCCCAGTTGTCAGGGTGATACAGTAGGGTAACTAGCAGTTTCTTATCTCAGTTGTCAGGGTGATACAGTAGGGTAACTAGCAGTTTCTTAGTTCAGTTGTCAGGGTGATACAGTAGGGTAACTAGCAGTTTCTTATCCCAGTTGTCAGGGTGATGCAGTAGGGTAACTAGCAGTTTCTTATCCCATTTGTCAGGGTGATACAGTAGGGTAACTAACAGTTTCTTATCCCAGTTGTCAGGGTGATGCAGTAGGGTAACTAGCAGTTTCTTATCCCAGTTGTCAGGGTGATACAGTAGGGTAACTAGCAGTTTCTTATCCCAGTTGTCAGGGTGATGCAGTAGAGTAACTAGCAGTTTCTTATCCCAGTTGTCAGGGTTATACAGTAGGGTAACTAGCAGTTTCTTATACCAGTTGTCAGGGTGATGCAGTAGGGTAACTAGCAGTTTCTTATACCAGTTGTCAGGGTGATGCAGTAGGGTAACTAGCAGTTTCTTATCCCAGTTGTCAGGGTGATGCAGTAGGGTAACTAGCAGTTTCTTATCCCAGTTGTCAGGGTGATACAGTAGGGTAACTATTAGTTTCTTATCCCAGTTGTCAGGGTGATGCAGTAGGGTAACTAGCAGTTTCTTATCCCAGTTGTCAGTGTGATACAGTAGGGTAACTAGCAGTTTCTTATCTCAGTTGTCAGGGTGATACAGTAGGGTAACTAGCAGTTTCTTATACCAGTTGTCAGGGTGATACAGTAGGGTAACTAGCAGTTTCTTATCTCAGTTGTCAGGGTGATACAGTAGGGTAACTAGCAGTTTCTTATCCCAGTTGTCAGGGTGATGTAGTAGGGTAACTAGCAGTTTCTTATCTCAGTTGTCAGGGTGATGCAGTAGGGTGACTAGCAGTTTCTTATCCCAGTTGTCAGGGTGATACAGTAGGGTAACTAGCAGTTTCTTAACTCAGTTGCCATGGTGATGCAGTAGGGTAACTAGCAGTTTCTTATCCCAGTTGTCAGGGTGATACAGTAGGGTAACTAGCAGTTTCTTATCCCAGTTGTCAGGGTGATGCAGTAGGGTAACTAGCAGTTTCTTATCCCAGTTGTCAGGGTGATACAGTAGGGTAACTAGCAGTTTCTTATCCCAGTTGTCAGGGTGATACAGTAGGGTAACTAGCAGTTTCTTATCCCAGTTGTCAGGGTGATGCAGTAGGGTAACTAGCAGTTTCTTATCCCAGTTGTCAGGGTGATACAGTAGGGTAACTAGCAGTTTCTTATCCCAGTTGTCAGGGTGATGCAGTAGAGTAACTAGCAGTTTCTTATCCCAGTTGTCAGGGTTATACAGTAGGGTAACTAGCAGTTTCTTATACCAGTTGTCAGGGTGATGCAGTAGGGTAACTAGCAGTTTCTTATACCAGTTGTCAGGGTGATGCAGTAGGGTAACTAGCAGTTTCTTATCCCAGTTGTCAGGGTGATGCAGTAGGGTAACTAGCAGTTTCTTATACCAGTTGTCAGGGTGATGCAGTAGGGTAACTAGCAGTTTCTTATACCAGTTGTCAGGGTGATGCAGTAGGGTAACTAGCAGTTTCTTATCCCAGTTGTCAGGGTGATGCAGTAGGGTAACTAGCAGTTTCTTATCCCAGTTGTCAGGGTGATACAGTAGGGTAACTATTAGTTTCTTATCCCAGTTGTCAGGGTGATGCAGTAGGGTAACTAGCAGTTTCTTATCCCAGTTGTCAGTGTGATACAGTAGGGTAACTAGCAGTTTCTTATCTCAGTTGTCAGGGTGATACAGTAGGGTAACTAGCAGTTTCTTATACCAGTTGTCAGGGTGATACAGTAGGGTAACTAGCAGTTTCTTATCTCAGTTGTCAGGGTGATACAGTAGGGTAACTAGCAGTTTCTTATCCCAGTTGTCAGGGTGATGTAGTAGGGTAACTAGCAGTTTCTTATCTCAGTTGTCAGGGTGATGCAGTAGGGTGACTAGCAGTTTCTTATCCCAGTTGTCAGGGTGATACAGTAGGGTAACTAGCAGTTTCTTAACTCAGTTGCCATGGTGATGCAGTAGGGTAACTAGCAGTTTCTTATCCCAGTTGTCAGGGTGATACAGTAGGGTAACTAGCAGTTTCTTATCCCAGTTGTCAGGGTGATGCAGTAGGGTAACTAGCAGTTTCTTATCCCAGTTGTCAGGGTGATACAGTAGGGTAACTAGCAGTTTCTTATCCCAGTTGTCAGGGTGATGCAGTAGGGTAACTAGCAGTTTCTTATCTCAGTTGTCAGGGTGATACAGTAGGGTAACTAGCAGTTTCTTATCCCAGTTGTCAGGGTGATGCAGTAGGGTAACTAGCAGTTTCTTATACCAGTTGTCAGGGTGATACAGTAGGGTAACTAGCAGTATCTTATCCCAGTTGTCAGGGTGATACAGTAGGGTAACTAGCAGTTTCTTATCCCAGTTGTCAGGGTGATGCAGTAGGGTAACTAGCAGTTTCTTATCCCAGTTGTCAGGGTGATACAGTAGGGTAACTAGCAGTTTCTTATCCCAGTTGTCAGGGTGATGCAGTAGGGTAACTAGCAGTTTCTTATCTCAGTTGTCAGGGTGATACAGTAGGGTAACTAGCAGTTTCTTATCCCAGTTGTCAGGGTGATGCAGTAGGGTAACTAGCAGTTTCTTATCCCAGTTGTCAGGGTGATGCAGTAGGGTGACTAGCAGTTTCTTATCCCAGTTGTCAGGGTGATACAGTAGGGTAACTAGCAGTTTCTTAACTCAGTTGCCATGGTGATGCAGTAGGGTAACGTGTAGTTACCCTCCCATCTGATCCTGGACTAACAGGACAAACGTTAATACGCTGAGGTACAGTTGCTGTGGTTACCGCAGCTACTTGTTTCTCACTCGAACACATAACCATGAAGAATATGACAACAGGAGCAAGTCCTAGCACTAACAGTGACAACACTACACACAAATTAGCCGGGTTTATACCTTCCATAAAGAACTGGTAACTTGTCCCCTGAATGGTGCATAACACTGCGTAGAACCCGAAATCACTGACCGACATGTTCAGAATGAAGATAGCCACAAGCACGACAATCCCTCGCTGTATCTTGTTATCTGAAACTTTGATGATTGTTAAAAATGAGTAGAAGAATGCTACCACCCCGAGCTCAATCCAGTATCCCATACCATTCTTCTCACAGAAGTTAGTGTAGTGTTTGAGGATGTCATTTCTGGAAACGGTTGTCCACTCGTCCAGGTATATTGAGTCAGAATAAAGGGTTTGTAAAGCTTTCTCTATAAATATCTGTGTTAAAATCCCGGCTAGAATCATTGCTGAATCCACTGCTTTTCTCTGCATCGCGATTTAAGCTGTAGTTAAATGCCGGTTACAGTTTTGTTAAAGACTGTTTAGTTTATTAAGGATTTCTGAATCCACTGCTTTTGATCTTTGCATCGCGGTTTAAACTGAAGTTAAATTATCGCTTTAGTTTTGTTAAAGACCGTTTAGCTTATTAAGGATACAATCAATTCAGAATATGCTTGGTTCACAACTTAAAAGTCAAACGTTTTAAAATATCAGCAGAATATGTATAATATTCTCATGGAAATAAGACATTGTATTTAAAAATCATTTAAACTAACGACAAATTAATAACTGCAGTAGAATTCAACCTAGTATTTAATAGAAAACAGAACAATGAGAAACTCCATTGCAAAATGTAAGACTGACTACTGAGCAAGCTGAAACGTCTGTAACCGGCTTGCCACAGTGCTTACTACAATACTGAGCAGTATTAGTAAGCATTACGCAGGTGAATTATCTCAATCTTATGAAATATCTCGGTGAACAACCGAGATTGAGTATATAAGCGATAATCATGGTCAGGGTCAGTTGTCCAGTATATAATAGTGGTGTAAATAACAGGTTTAGAGAAACAGAAAACCACGCTGAACCTATTCAGTATTCAAACGCATAAGTCTTGTTTCAGTCACCAAATATTTTGGTTTTTACTTTCTCTCGTGTTTTCTCTCACGACCGTTATTTTAAGAACAGCATCAAACTCTTGACAAGCTAATTCAGAACCAATTGAGCAGTATATTATTTGACATTTTCAATTACATATTTTTGGACCAACTATTACGGAGAAGTTTGATTGAGCGTGTCATTTCGGACTAACTTAATCCGTCCCAATTTCTTTCATATCTGTAGTGACCTACTCCGGAGTTGGAAGTTTCAACACAGTGCTGAAATTATGTACCTTTTTCACTTCTAAGGTATCCCACAGTCATATTGTTTTGTAGTATGACGTAAGCAGTGCCAGTACGACGTCAGCAACTATCAGCAGTAGTTACATGTTATATTTTGTCGGTAAAAATGCTTGATGAAATGAGTTGACTTAGTGGGGGAGAAATGATATAGAAAAACCATGATGTAAAATTGGCTGCTCCCACTTCCTGGGAGGCGGTGCACAAGCTGAGTCTTGTTATCTGTTATCAAAATCTTCTGTCTTAAGATCCCTAAACTTCCCGTCGTTTTAACAGCACTGTAACACTTTTAGATCATTTTCATCACTATGTCTATTCATAAAAAATCAGAAATGTTCTTAAAAGAATCATCAAATGAGACTCATCAAAACTACACGACTTAATTAGTTAGGTTGGTTAAAGTTGGTTAAGTTGGTTAAGTTGGTTAAGTTGGTTAAGTTGGTTAAGTTGGTTAAGTTGGTTAAATTGGTTAAGTTGGTTAAGTTGGTTAAGTTAAGTTGGTTAAGGTTGTACTTACCTTATATTATTATTATACCAAGTCCGGTAAGGTTGTTCTAAATGTTCAGTAAGAGAGTAAGTAATTACCAGAAATAGAATGGAAATGGTTAAAACTCAGTTGATTGAAACAGTCGATGCTGACATTATAATTATCCCTGGTTATTTTGATAAGTTTCTGATCGTCTTCCGAAGTTTATAAAGCTTTTCAAATAACTAACCCCATCTACCTGATAGTATGTGACATTTGGGGTGGTGCCGAAAAATGACTCCAGCTGTCTTGCCTTGAGAAACGTTTAGTGTGCAGAAAAAATTTTGTATGGATAGGATTCATATCAGTTTTTTCACCAGGAATGTGGATGTTAAATTAGAATTGCTTTTGTGGTGGCAACAAGGGTACCGGGTTAAGGTTTTTGCAGTAATATATCGAGTATATAAGTTTTGAGTTGTGATTGTAACATCTCCACAACAGCAGGTAGCCTCAGACACCAGTATCTCCTTGAGCTCGGACACAGATTTATCAGACCAGAGCGATGCTGAGTTCGACTCCAGAATAAACCTGAACATCGAGCCACGACCATCTGAGGATGGTGCCCTCAAACTCAAAACTCCTCCAGTTCATGAGCCCCGACCCTGTGAGGATGATACTCTCATAGACACCATGGCAACCAGCCTATCTTTACAGGAATCCAGTCCTAAACCTAACCCTGCATTCCTTGGATACGAGTTGTCAGCCAAGAGCAAGTATATGAAGCTTTCCTTAGATAGATATTGGTACTTTCCGGGACGATAACCGTATTTGTGTTGACACGTGACAGTAATGCTGGAAACTGAGTTGTTTATCGCGGTCACGTGTCAAAATAAATATGGTTCAACTCCCATCAACATCTAGATCTTTAATTCGTTGGTGTTTCAGAACCCAAGTTTAAATCTATAGCTTAAAAGTTTCGATTATGAGATTACACTGATCTAGCTACCATAAAGTACCATACAGTACCATAAAATACCATAAAGTACCATAAAGTACCATAAAGTACCATAAAGTACCATAAAGTACCATAAAGTACCATAAAAGTACCCGTAATATCTCAATATCCACAAATTGGCTTGTGGCTGCCCTTCAGCGATCAGAAACTTTCCTTTAACTCAAAATCCGAGTCCCAGGACCAAATTAACGACTGACGTCAGCGTCAGAATAGCGATTTAAATTAGCATTACCCAACCTGACCCCCATTATTCCTCTAATAAGCTACCTATTTTATTGGAATTTAATGCGAAACTTACAACATTTTGTTGACGTACTTCTAGATTACACCGTAACTCTGGTATAAGGTTCCTTCTTCTTATCCATCTTCCGCATTACGTAATTGCTGGGCAACTTCTTAATATTCCCCACAGATACCAACATCTGGTTTCACTTATGATATAATTCTGTTACCTTTTGTCATACAGCTAGTAAGTCTTAACTTTCAATTGCATCTATTATTCTCTAGCATTCTATGTGACTCAGAAGTTGGCTGTTTGCCAACTATTTGCTGAATGCCAACTCGTTAACAGACTATAAACTCTAACAGTATACTGAGTTGGGGTATATACACTCTACAACCCTTAAAATGCTATATCATAGTCTAATCTGAGTAGTCCAGAGTCCACATTCCTTCAATGTCTCTGAAGCTATCCCCACTCCCAGGACTTTATCAAACAGCGAGAGTGACAAGGACGAGAGTACAGACGAGGAGACAGGGAAGATAAAACCATTGCGCGTGAAGAGGAGAAAGAGCAGTTCGGAGAGGAGACGATCTCAACCTGAACTCGATCTTATAACCCCTGGAGAAGATTCGGGTTCGTATACACCACACAGTTCAATTCCGCAAATGAAATCATTTGGTGTATGATTTCGGTAAATCAATAAAACCCATGCTAGCGCCATGAAACTGTCTGACCATTATAAGAAGGTCTACATTCCACTTTATAGTTCACTTATGCTTACTTTACTCCACAGAGGACGACTTACTGGGTGGTCAACCCAAACCAGCTTTTAAAAGTCAACCTAAAACAAGCCTTAGTCCAACAAGCCAGGTAAATATAGACACCCGAACATTCTTTTTGTTAAAACTATTCTCTCTGTGATAATGTTATAATGTTATATTGCTTTAAGTATAGTTCGTTTACAATCAGTTACTGCGTTAGTTTGTCATTGTCTCAGTGTACTACTTTGATAATATGGTTTCCGTAGTTTGTACTACTGCTCACTTGGTATGACGCGTGACATTATTATCATCTAGGTTTCTAAACATCTGCTGGAAGGTTGTGGTGTGACAGACATTGGTTCTGATGTAACTGCTCAGCTAGATAATTCTCTGGAAGCGTTTCTGGAGTCGGAGACTGAACACATCCTGATTGAGATTGATCAACACGAACCTGTATTTACGCCTCAACAATTATCACCTGAAATAGAATCCGAGCCAGCACCAGAATTACAGTCATCAAAACAAAATAATCCTGGTAGCGAGAAAGAAGAAACGGGCAATATTGAGATGAGAGAAGAGGACGAAGAAGAGGGTATGAGACCGATAGAGACCGATACTGAAAAGGTTATGATACCGATAAAGACCGATATTGGAGAGGGTATGAGACCGATAAAGACCGATACCGAAGAGGTTATGAGACCGATAAAGACCGATACTGAAAAGGTTATGATACCGATAAAGACCGATATTGAAGAGGTTATGAGACCGATAAAGACCGATATTGAAAAGGTTATGAGACCGATAAAGACCGATACTGAAGAGGTTATGAGACCGATAAAGACCGATACTGAAGAGGTTATGAGACCGATAAAGACCGATATTGAAAAGGTTATGAGACCGATAAAGACCGATACTGAAAAGGTTATGATACCGATAAAGACCGATACTGAAGAGGTTATGAGACAGATAAAGACCGATATTGAAGAGGTTATGAGACCGATAAAGACCGATACTGAAGAGGTTATGATACCGATAAAGACCGATACTGAAGAGGTTATGATACCGATAAAGACCGATACTGAAGAGGTTATGAGACCGATAAAGACCGATACTGAAGAGGTTATGATACCGATAAAGACCGATATTGAAGAGGTTATGAGACCGATAAAGACCGATACTGAAGAGGTTATGAAACCGATAAAGACCGATATTGAAGAGGTTATGAGACCGATAAAGACCGATACTGAAGAGGTTATGAGACCGATAAAGACCGATACTGAAGAGGTTATGAGACCGATAAAGACCGATACTGAAGAGGTTATGAGACCGATAAAGACCGATACTGAAGAGGTTATGAGACAGATAAAGACCGATATTGAAGAGGTTATGAGACCGATAAAGACCGATACTGAAGAGGTTATGATACCGATAAAGACCGATACTGAAGAGGTTATGATACCGATAAAGACCGATACTGAAGAGGTTATGAGACCGATAAAGACCGATACTGAAGAGGTTATGATACCGATAAAGACCGATATTGAAGAGGTTATGAGACCGATAAAGACCGATACTGAAGAGGTTATGAAACCGATAAAGACCGATATTGAAGAGGTTATGAGACCGATAAAGACCGATACTGAAGAGGTTATGAGACCGATAAAGACCGATACTGAAGAGGTTATGAGACCGATAAAGACCGATACTGAAGAGGTTATGAGACCGATAAAGACCGATACTGAAGAGGTTATGAGACCGATAAAGACCGATATAAGGGAAGTTCCAAGCAGCCTTGTCTTGTCCACAAGTTATTATTCAGTAGAGGGTGAATCTTCCTCGGGCGGAGAAAGTAAAGGATATGAGGTTTCCTCCCTTCAAGAATCAAATGTGAGTAATCTCCATTTTCTTTCCTGGCATTTCTATTTTCTGGCTGATATTATCATATTATAATTGATGAGGCAAGGGCCTTTACTTACGTATATATGTGTTTTTATCTGACGATTGGAAGGTTGATTGAACATTTGGTCGAATAATTAACACAATTTGTTGAATCTCTCAATTCTACTATAATAATACTTTAAAAGTAAGCTTGCTTTTAAGCACGAAAAGAATGCATACATATTGTCGACCAAATATGGTACTCTTCAACTAACCTTTCAACCGACTAACGAACTCATTAAGAAACATGAGCACATATTATATAATATATATTGCCACAGGGTCACTATAGATATTATATTACAATCATAAAATTATATCCAGACACGAATTATCTTGTGTCATTCAAAATCGATTACAGTTTTTATTTTGGCATTCGTATCGCCAGAACTTGCTTAAATCCACAGCTCAGGAATGGTAATGAACCACCCTAATTCATTAATGAACATTATATTTAACCTCTTATACAGACATTGTGACACCCTAAATGTGACAAAACATGGTATGATCTGCCTATAAAGTATAAATGCATTTACGCCCATCTCATTACTAAATGAACACCCTCATTTCCACAAGGCAACCGGCGTGGTAGAAGTTTCCAGCGACGGTAAGATCTTGAAAAGACAGAGCTCCCCATTCAAGTATAGTGAGCAGGTCCCTTTCTTCTCGACCCCTAATAAGGTAAAAACTAGGTCTATTGTCTGACAAAATTTAACGCACGAGCGAAGTCTGTTATACTCCGACCAATCCCGAACACTCGTCCAGTGCTCTATGTTTTGATATTCGAGTATTTCATGCTTTGAAGATATTGCTGAGAGAGTTATTTCTGTCGGCAATAATTTGATAGTAAATATGCTAAGGTGATGTTATTATTTTATAACCTATTTTCAGACTTTGCTCCTCTCAAATTTTTCATATCAGTTCTTGTTTTTCTGACAAAGCTGTCGAAACTTCGGCCAGCCGATACATTAGTTTATATTCGGCATAATCTCTGGTAATTATAACTCTGAATGCCAATAAAATGTCTATTTCCTTAGTCTACTTAACGAACTAACGTAACTTAAAGTAATAACTCTACCTTTGTTTTATAGTTGGCTTCTTAAACTACATTATCTTCTCACTAGAGACTATCAACTATACTAATTACAACACCACTACATAATTACATAATTTCCATAATTACCTAATTACTACGTCACAAATAGTCTATTCAAACGACCAAACAGCCCCCACGTGTGCTGTTGTTACACAACAAGTAACATCTCTCCTGGAGCAGCTTGCTCTCTGCAGCTTCCGCGTGCAGTACCTATAAGCTATAAGTGTAATCTCTCATTATCTGCCCTGTAACCACTACAGTGTACTGGAGGAGAAGGAGAAGGGGGAGCACGAAGCCAGACCAATCCCCAACTCTACCTAATCCTCAGGATCAGACACTGTAAGGTTGGATACCGTAACCGACCACCCTCTCAGTGTATGCTAATCGTAGTACGTTTCTCTTGTATTACGTTTCTTGTTGTATACGTGAATGTAATTGTTCTCTTTGAGATGATAAGGATTGGGGGCTTTTAGCTAATCGTGACGTACCAGGATGGTACGTGAGACTATGTATATCTCCTTATATGGTGCGATTATAGTTGAGGTCCTGATTATATCTTCTTATGAATAATAGATTGACGCAGTGATATCGTACACAATGTATCGTGGTTTCCCATTGTTATAGTGATTCATCCTAGATATCATAAAGGTACAAATCAACTGCTCGTATGATGATTGTTGTTGTTTTGTGTGATATTCTTTCGTGAAATTTTCGTGTAGTGAGCTTGATCAACATTCCGATCTGTGTAAAATTTTTGAGTTTTTTCAACTTTTTAAAAGTTTTTTATTCACTTTTTAAACTTTTAAACGTTTTGTATGCTTTAAATGTTTAAACGTTTTAAACTCCTTTACCTTTTAAGCTTTTCTGACTTGCAAACCAATTTATGTGCTGAGTAAACTTTATAAACCTTTAATGTTAACTTTTAATGTTAACTTTTTAAATTCACCTGCTGCACTCAAGCTCCAAAAGCTCAGCAAAACTAAACTTTAAAGAAACAACACACAACATGTTCACTTTGTTGTAAACCTTCTTTTGTTTACTTTCTTACGCTGCGTACCTCAGAATGTCACTCTTTTGTTTTTAGCTCTGTTATAAACATGATAAAGGCTCCTGCTCCGACAAAATATAATTAAAGGTGGGTCCTTGCACGAGTTTGTAGTATAATTAAGACATTTAATTACCTATAATTGGTTGTTAAGTGACTTATAATTACTTTTAAAAGTAAAACGTTTATAAACCAATTTATTATGTTACTTGATATACACTTGATGTAAACTGTTGCAGAAACTCTAAGACCAGTCCTGCACTGTGTTCTTGTTTTAGTTTCTAAGAGCACAGTAACCGTGATGCTAAAGGGCTGGGTGTGAGTCTCCACCTTCACTTCACATCACCCTCACTAGGACTCGCAAAACTTAGTAATATTTCGCTGGTTATTACAAATGCCAGGTGGTATGACGGATGTAGATAAGGTAGATTAACAGTATTTCCACGGCTTCAAGAGCGTTACAAGTTCCTTTATCGAGTCGATCACATTGCCCATCACTCTTTGTATTGTTTGCAATAATTGTTCCTGTAAATTAATTTAAGAATTTATAAGTGAGAGGAAAAGTGTGTCTTGTTCTCAATACCGTGGTTAGAAGTACTTTATGACTCAATCTCATGCTATATGTCGTTGATGTGTTGATTGAATAATTCCTCTATTGAACAAACTTTATCTCCTCATGAGCACGTTACCATGACAACCTGTTATTCTAATTAAGTAAACTTAATTTTACTGCAAATTGGTTTAAGCTAATTGATTAAATTCGAAAGAGTATTTCGTTTCACGATCCTTCGAGTTATCATGTTTAATGTGTCAATGCTCTGGCATTTGAAATCTTGTTCTCGTTCAATATGTAATTTGTAGATTTTATTTCATCGTTCTTGGTTCGGTTTTGTGGACCCTTTCAATGCCTATTGCCTATTGTACGCATTAAACTGCAACTATGAAGGTGAGTTTGAACTTTAATGGAAAGTTGAAAGATGGCCTTCTACAGTCAAAGCAGCCGATAGGGGAAATTTAAAAATTCTTTTGTCGAAGTTTTGACTATTTGAAGTGTTGAAATCAATTAAATCGGAATGAAATTCGTTTTTTATTCAACAACTTTTTACACGAACAATAAACAACATCACAATTTTCTTGTCAAGTACCAAACAAAAACGGCAGCAAAACGCTGTCTGCTTCCCCGGACTTTATCGAAACGCCATATCTTGCAATCACGTCACAGGGCTAGTTAGTAGTTATCACCTGCTGGTAATGTTACAGTGGCACGGTGCTTTAACATCCGACACAGGAAGTGATAGTGTCCGGGTGATATCACACTTACAGACCACTCATTTGCTACTGCTACTAATATCAAGTCAGCTTCTTGGTTACCAACGTATTTAACCTTTAAAAAATATTAATTTATGATTAAATGAACAGATCATGTCACAAAATCGCAAATTATACAATGAAAAATAGTTCCATTACAATTTAGATAGACTATTTCTTCTGTCAGCATCAAATCCATTAAGACAGTAGCTACCTTATCAGATATAAGGGCTCAGTTCCACGTTATGTCTGCCCAATGATGTCTGATAAGGTAAGTGCATTAGATGCACCTTATCTGATACAATGTTAATTATTTACATGATACAGTAGTTGTTGAACAGTTGAACAGCCAGTGTCCCAACTCTCAGCAAGAGCACACATTCCTAGAGTTGGAAGTACTGGAAGGTGGTGTCACAAGCAGGCAAGAAACAAGGACCGTATCTGATCCAGTAGTCGGTAGTGTAACACCAGGGTTCCACACTCTTCCCTGGGTCCGGGTTCCTGCAGAAGCTGTGTTTTCCTAGCCCATATGTTGCTGTGTTGTATGAAGTAGGATGGTAGTATGTGTGGACGTGGGGGTAGTCTTTGTTCCAGGCTTGACATGGGATGGTATTATTACCCTCTACCTTAGCAGAGTTTACCAAACCTCTATAACCGGTTCCATCTCCAGCGGAGCACTGAACGTCCCAAACACACCGGGGTAGTCCACAGGGGGAGGTCTCGTTGTTAACCTGACAATGTGGTCCTATTTCCAGTCCTTCAGTGTTACGACACGGTCCCTCACACTCTCTTCCTTTAACGTCCTTGTTCTGGTAACCACTGAAGTAGACTCCATGACCCTCAGTATCTTTGTAGCAGAATATGTTCGTCATCATCGGTTCTAATATCACCTCTTTAATGCCTTCTGGACTAAACTTCATTTCTCCCTGCTTTATGATGAGGAATTTAGTATAAGGATGTTCTGGATTCCTGACAACCCAATCCCCACTGACTGCCGACAGCAAGATGGTTGATGAGTGCCATACTGTGACATTACTCACGTCTCTCAACTGATTTAATTTTCCAGCCACAGTATAATTAAGCAATGGACCCTTGCAATCGTCCCCAGAAGTTGAGCCAGTTGAGTAGGTGGTGTAGGTTCTGTTGTTAGCACAGAAAGTGCACTGTACACCTCCCCTCTTTTCCTGATAAGTACCCCTCCCACAGAGATTACACCCAGTCTGTCCTGTCTGGTCCTGGTATGAGCCTGGTTTACACTGTTCACACAAAGGGGAGCCCTCACTTTCTGCAAAGTGTCCAGCTGGACACAGCGTACAGTTAGTTGAACCCTGAGAAGACCCAGTAGAGGAGCCAGCGTTACACGTGGCACAACTAGCTGATCCCCGCCTATCGTTAAACTGACCCACAGGACAACCTTGACACCCCGGTGAGCCGGCTACACTGCTAAAATAACCAGGGATACAGAGAGAGCAGGAGATAGACCCGGAGAGTTTGTTGGTGGAGGAACCAGGGGGACAGTATCCACAGCTTGCCCACCCCATACCACTTGCAAACTGTCCAGGACTACAAGAGAAACAGTGACTTCGCGCTGTCCAACCTTTGGTTGAAGTCCCGGGGGAACACAACGAACAAAGTGTTTGTCCTGGTTTGTCCTGCGATGAACCTGCTGCACATGGTTCACAAGAAGTCGAGCCTGGTCTTCCAGAGAAAGTTCCTGGTACACACACGGTACAAGTCGTGGAACCGTTACGTGAAAAACTCCCAGCATCACAATCAGTACATATCTCAGAACCGCTGACAGGGCTGAATGTTCCTCCAGGACATGGTACACACGAGGAAGCGTTCTCAGTGGAGTAGGTTCCTGCAATGCAGTTGGAACAGCTATCTGAAGCAGTGTCTGCATTGTATTGTCCTGCTCTGCAGCCCTCACAGATCTCCGAACCTGGGGTATCTGAGAAGGTGCCAGGTGAACACTCCAGACAGGATGTCTGGTTAGTCCGGGAGTTGTAGTGACCTACTGGACAGGGGGTACAGGTTGTGGAGTTAACTTCAGTGCTGAAAGTGATGTCGGATTACGGGCAATATTCCATGGCTATGATTGAGAATCATTAAACTATCTCACAGCTTGGTTGCAAATGATGTAATGATTTTCTTTAAAGTACAGAGAAAGAACTAGAAGTTCAGGGAAACTCATCCTTGCCTGAAAGATCCAGCGGGACAACCAGCACAGCTACCGTCAACGTCCCTGTACTCTCCCGGGTAACAAATAGGATCAGTTATACATTGCTGTTTTGGTTCATCAGGATGTGTGTCTGGACCACTTGCAGTGCATGTAGTTGCTCCTGGACCACTGAAGGATATCGTGATTAATTGTAGGATTACTAAATTACTGCTCGTGCAGAGATACCTTCAAATGTGGAGTTTACATCATGCTATATTGTTAGGAAATTTTTGCCAAAAAAACTCGTTTTGAATCATTTGAAAATTAAATATATCATAATAGTTTTTCTCTGATAATAGTGTTTATGGTTGTGACACAGTCTTGAATTACTGATTTAAGCGTTTAAATGAAATTGCAAATAACTGTGTAGCTAACCTGTACTGCCCGGCTCTGCATGGGGTGCAGCTGGCGGATTTAGTTGCGTCAGTGAATGTTCCAGGGGCACATTCCACACATACCCTTGATCCTGTCTTGTTTCTAAAAACAAATCATAATCTAGGTAAACTATAGGTAAAAATATAATATTAATCATAAGCTAAAATGTACTAATCTTTGTATTCTAAATGGGGAAAAAGAAGAAACATTGTCAGTCAGTCGAGAAAATTGTCAGTCAGGCTATATGGCAGCTTTGTAGATGTTGTGACTATGCTAGTAGTGGTCCCAGGCTTGCGACTGGAATTGCGGTAGTAAATCGATTTAATGGTATACCAACGATCCACCTCCCACTTGTTGTTTGGTACTTAGCATTAATAGTGTTAGCTGTAGCCATTTATAGCAAGAATCTTAAAACTAAAGGGGATGACAAGGAAAAGAGGAAGGAAAAAGAATAACGGAACAAACAATTAATTAAAGTATTTACAGAAGCATTAGTTATTGTAATTACAAGCTTCAATAATAAATCACTGCTAAATGTACTAACTTTGTATTCTAAATGGGGAAAAGAAGAAACATTGTCAGTCAGTCGAGAATATTGTCAGTCAGGCTATATGGCAGCTTTGTAGATGTTGTGACAATGCTAGTAGTGGTCCCAGGCTTGCGACTGGAACACTTGCATATGCCGGACAAAACTATTTACATCATCCGATCCATTTGATTAACTGAAAATCTTTTTACCAGCTATAGATATACACTCTCTTGACGGAACAGTACGGCAAGTTTTCCGACGCGAAAATAAACAAAAACATGCATTTTATTTCGAATACGAACAAAAATCACGCAAATTTTGAACGAAAACATACATTTCAATAAACGTTTTTGTATTTGTGAATTTAGCACTGCGCTGGAATTCACAAGGTAAAAAACGCCAAACCCTTTGAAGAATAAAACCAACTTACGCGAATGTTCCAGCCTCGCAAGGAAAACAGCGCCTTAGTCCTTTTCTGTTATTGTAAGTTCCTTCAGGACATGGAGTGCATACGTTTGCATTTGCTTTGCTGAAAATAGGATGCACGAGATTAAGTTATGTTGTGTAGAAATTGAGTCGAATATTCTTGATCTTCCACGTTATATTACTCACAATTTAACGGTAACAATTTAAAGACATTAAAATAATTAATTACATTTTATATTTATGCATGTGCCCCACGGGGATGAATTTCTTATAACCATTGATATTATATATATTTTTTTGAGTAAACATTGGCTGGTACCACGGGCCAGTCCCCAACAAAAAAAAAGCTAACATGTTGAAATTAATTCATTACATACCTGAAGGAGCCAGGTGAACACGGTTCACATTCTTTAGAAATAGCATTGTAAAAGGTTCCCGCAGGGCACTTCTGCCCGTCTGGTACACTGACCCTGTCCTCAGTGCCTTCAGTGTCCTCAGTGTCCTCAATGTCTGTAGTGACACTGAAGAGCTCCAACAGACGTTTCACTAGAGTGTCAGAGAAGATGTCGAGTGGTGACTTGTGGTCTGAACAAGCAGTGGGTCGTTCAGTGGAACCTTGACGAAGGAATATGCAGAGAGTAACCATGCAGCAGAGCACCTTCAACCCCATTATTCGCTGGGGTAGCTGTCAGAATAGTTACATCCGAAGGTCGACCAAAATTGGATTTCTGGGTCGATCGGGAAATTCTGATATTCGCCATGACGAAACATAAACAATAATTCGGTAGTGGATGTTGATGGAATGATATCGGCAATGATAGTGTGCCAAATGCTAGCTCTGTATGTTTGTGGTTTGCATATTGATACAAATAAAACTCGGTTATAAAATTAATACCAATATTTTACCAACATTTAAAGTTGTATTAAAATCGCAACCTAAAGACGTTTACGGACATGGAATGCAGTCACGATACTCGAAGAAGCTGTATTTAGGTTCCACCTCTATCTCTATGTCTAGTTTGTATCCAGGTTCTGGGAAGGAGGTAGCGTCTTCAGACACGTAGATTGCATAGTTCCCGTACACTGGCCCACTGAGGTATCTCCATCCTGTTCCGTGGTCAGTTCCTTGGACTGTTAAGCGACCTTGTCCATCTTTCATTTGTCCCTGCACGTTTTGTATGTTAGCTATCTCGTGCCGCCAGTCACTGGCTAGATCTGTTCCTGTCTTGGGGTTACATAAAAAATGGTTGCCAAGTCCATGAGTGTTTTCATCATCCTCGTTTGCTCCAGATAGTCTTGCTCCAGTCAATACTATCCTCGCCCCGTTGTTCCCATAACCCCAGTTGAAAGCCAAGTCTCCCCCAACGGAAAAGACAGGATCATCTGCCAGGTTCTGGGCCACTTTGCTGATGCTCTCCTGTATGGGACCTCCCTCAGTCATCACCTTCCTGCCTGGATCCATGTCCTGGAACCTGGAGAGTAAAGACCTGTACTTTGTCTTAAACCGGAACACTTTCACTGCGTCCACTTCTCCCGCTTGGTGCCTAACCAGAGCGATAAAGTTGGCACGTGATTCCCAGACCTCTCTGTTCAAATAATCTTTACTCAGGGCCTTACCGTAAGTTCCAATAAATTCGTCCTTGGCCCACCCTGTTGTGTAGTCCATTATGTGACCATCAGATGGGTTGAGGTTCATCGCCAAGTACCAGGTTTTAGTACGAACTTTCTCGATCTTCTCCACATCACGTGATATTACAGCAGTGGTGACCAGAAGAAACATTTTCACTGTCAAACAAACGACACAATAAATGTGAATAAGTAAAAGTCCAACTTCTGCTATTTATCACCTACATTATTAAGTTCACCCATAGTTAACACAAATGGAAATGAGACAGGTGGATATGGCAGGTGGATACGTTAAGTGAAACATGCATTCTATTTTTGTGGCTTTCCTAATTTTGTTTTACGTTTCCAAAACATAATTTTCAGAATGATCCTGGTACTATCTTCAAAATGGTGAAAATGGCGATAAAAATTGAATTCAAATTGAACAATCAAGATTTGGTTTTTGTGACAATCACCATTTTAATAACTGAAGACTAACAAAACAAAGCAAAGTGTGATTCATTGCAACCAACACAAAATTTCCTAGGTCAAAAGTATAAAGTTGAGCTTTTAAACTTACTTTTGATTGAATTAGATATCATGTCATGGCTGCAATGAATCACATGTTCAGATAAATTACAAACAAGTATTCTTAAAGAAAAATCAGGTTTATTCAGTATTGACATCAAAAATTATTTAATTCGGTCAGTAGTATCAGCTCATATAACATTAGCTCATGCTATCGCTATGATCTATTTCAGGGGATACCATGTTCACCGCAATACATTTTAAATATAAATATATTTTAGAAAAATGCGAATACTACTCATGGCTAAAAATGCTATTGAGATTATGGTAGTTTTTCGATAAGATTTGGATTTTTGAGTTATAAAAAGATAAAACTTCAAGATCATAAAACAGTCACCGGACACATTATCATAAAATTGTGTTTAAATATTGGATCTTTAACCTGAAGGGTAAATGTTGAAACGCTTTTCCATCAGCCAGCTACGTGCATTTATGATTATATATTCCCGGACGTGGTTATAGATTAAAAGATTAAATAATATCTGTGCGCTCTGACTTGACTATACACAAAACGTACCCGTGATTAGTTTAAGCTCTAATACATATAATAATCTAATATACATAATAATCAGACCAAACACTATTCAGTTTATCCTTTATCCTCCAGGATAAGCTGCTAAACATGGAGCTCAAAGCGATCATTATCGATTTATTTTATGTGTTAAACTTAAAGCTTTAAAGAACACCCTTTATCAGTATTGAGTTTGTAGAGATTGTAGATGAATACTGATAATTTCTTTTCATGTGTATACACTATACAGCTCAGGTGTACCAGACTATGCTCGCTCGTAAATTCAAACTTTGAGTAGAAAGTAGTTATTCTATAATCTATATAATATAATGGCAGCTGTTTTGAGAACGTATACAAGTTGAGTTTGTAAGCTGTTTTACTTTGTACACTCGACTTTATTATGTTTATTGTATTTCTTTTTTCACAATATATGAGGAAAACGTTGTAGCAGTAAGACGAAAAGTTGAATTATGAAATAAGGTTCTATACGTACTCGTCTCTGATCAGAAAACATTAAACATTTGTAATTTTCAACACATTTCAACACATTTCAACACATTTCAACACATTTCAACAAATTTCAACACATTTTCAACACATTCGATGAGGCTCATTAACAGTTCACAGCTACTAATTCAGTTTCACAGTTTGTCGTATTCAAGAGGGCTCTAGTGTGTGAACTGAAAATAGTGCACAATTTGAACGTTTCTTGTTTGAAACCCTGTTGGAAATATAGATAATAGGTCAGTAGGAATTATGACAGAACCCTGATCAGAATATCCCTTTTCGTAACCATTCGTATTTGATGTTTGTGATAAATGGTGGTAATTTGAAAAACGATGACTGCGTAACTCACATGTTTGATCAGATATTGATATCTCATCTTGTAAACTTATAAATCATCAACACTTCATTTTGCCTAGGATCTATCTGAAGAAGGTCTGAAGACAGAAATCAGGGGCCTCCAAGAGGAAATGGCTAAATCTGATTTGATAATCGCAGAGCTTAACATCACTATTGAGGATTTGCGAGAGTATAACACAAAGCTGCAGAACGACATCCACTACAATGATGGTAAGATTTTATACACTCGGTTAAAACTTAGAGATGTTTTGATTTATGATTGTTACAGTATGATTTATTATTGTATTGATGTTTAAATTTCTCAGATTTGATCAATACTAAGTTTATAGGCTTATCTACTTATAGAAATGGATCTTGTAATTATATCTCGAATTTTGGTCAGTTATTATGGGCTTATAAACTTATAAAAATGGATCTTGTCATTCTATCTCGAATTTTGGTCACTTGGATTAATCATGTTATGTAAAATTATGATCTCTTTTGTAAAAATTAAATTAAATTAAAAATCTGTCAAGAATGTTCTCAACATGGGTACAGTGGTGCAGCAGGTTATTTAAGTCCAGAAAGTTTTAGTATGATAGTTAACCACATTAGGCAATTCAGTAGTGTGGCATAACACGGTTAACGCACAAGGGTTACATAAGGCACGGTTCTTAAGGCACGGTTAACGCACGGTTAACGCACGGTTAAGGCACGGTTAAGGCACAAACTACCCAACTTTGATAATAACTTAAATATTCTGCAGTCTTCAGTATCTGCCTTTAGGAGGCAGGACTTCTCCTTGTGAGTGGAGAGTTCTCAGGGCATCAAGCTTGCGGTTGCAGATATCCTTAGCTGCGGGGTAGAGGGTGTGGAGCGTTATCTTCCGTAGAAGCAGCATTGCTTGCTGAAGGGCAGGCTCGTCCACCATAGCAGCCTCAGATATGCAGCGTTTTCTGGTGAAGTGGGTTCTTGATATTCCCACTTCGTTTAGAGCTGCAGCAAGAGATTCTCCATCGTTGACTCGGTCCAAGATTGATTTGTACTCTGTTTGTATTCCAGGCAGGGAGAAGGTTCTCTTGCGAGTATTGGATCGGACTGGACCAGGAGCGGGATTGCCAGCTTTGAGAGGAAGTATCGGATTTTTAGCAACAGGATCCTGACCAGCATCATTGGAAGAGGTAGGCGGGGATCCAGATGGAGGTAAAGTAGGAGCGGTAGGAGTGGTAGGAGCGGTAGGAGCGGTAGGAGCGGTAGGAGCGGTAGGAGCGGTAGGAGCGGCGTTGGTAGCAGGAACAATAGGTGTGGGAGGAGGAGGAGGTCTGGTAGGACGAACAGCGGTGGTGCGAGAATTTGTAGGTGCAGGGTTGGATCTTGTCGGTCTGACTACCGTATCTCAACCGTGCCTTATGTAACTCTTGTTCCCTAGCCGTGCCTTAACCGTGCCTTAGTTAACCACTTGCATGTTTATATGTTATATTTCCCCAACCGTGCGTTAACCGTGTGTTAATCGTGCCTTAAGCAACCATAATGGTTGCTTTTGGGCAGTTTGTGCCTTAACCGTGCCTTAACCGTGCGTTAACCGTGCGTTAACCGTGCCTTAAGAACCGTGCCTTATGTAACCCTTGTGCTTTAACCGTGCCTTAACCGTGCGTTAACCGTGTTATGCCACACTACTGAATTGCCCCACATTAACTAAATTCTACATTAAGATAATGTAAAATAAGCTTGGAGAGTGGTACAATCTTGGTACAAGCAATTTTCATTCTTAGTAATAGAAAAATTTCGAGTCTCATGGTACAATTGATCCAACTTTGGTTACACGAGGGATGTGTCCTTTGTGTCACGTACTTTAAAATTCAGTGCATCATGTCTTGACTTTTCTGAAGAATGAAACCAAATTCAAAATCAAAGTTGAGCAAAATATCACAACATACACACAAAAATTATTTCAGGTTCGAATTCTTTGCAAGCATATATTTTAGCACATAATAACTTAATAAATTAATAAGTATGTCGTGTAGTGACGTAGCAAGTTTGTGGTCAAGGAATTGCTGGGGTCTGGAATATTCCGGGATCCTCCAACTTTGATGTAACACTTGAAGATATACTGAGTTTGTTACCAAGTTGAATGAGTGGCCGATTGTTTATCAGCCGCATACAATATGTTGATTGTTGACTGTTGAACATTTGATAGGATCTTATGATACAAACATAGTTTACCCCCTCCCCCCCCCCCCCCCCCCCCCTCCCACCAATTTCCATACCAGTTAAGCCGTCTAACCAATTGTTCAACATGATCAAGATACTGAAATAACTACTGTCCAGTGTGTCACCGCAGTGACGAAGCCCAGGTCGGCCCCACGCTATTATAAGTGTCACGTGCATAATTAGCGGGACACGTGTTTGGTTACCTTGGTTACCGGCACTTCATCAGTTATCAGTGATCAGTTACCTTGGTTACTGATATCATACGCCTTAAATAATTGCAGCTTTCGTTACTCGTTTACTGCTGCTCTTCTTTTGGGGTTGCGTTGCACCTTTTTAAAGAGGTTTCGAATTTGGATTGTGTTATATCTTTATATGTAGAATACTGTTATTGGAGAGAACAGTGTTTTGTGAGACTTGTCATCTTTCTAATCGTTCGACGTTAATTTTGGAATTGTAAAACCCCTTTTAGTTTGGCAACGCTCTTGTGAGCACTATTTAGTTTACCTGTCAATCGTTTTGGGAGCCGTTGAACTGAACCAATTTATTCATCACTCCATTTCTACAGCACTTATCAGAGAATTAAATTATGAAATCTTATAGGTAGAGTCCTACACTGGCATATACCTGCCTGGTAACAGCGAGTCTGGCATATACCTACCTGGTAACAGCGAGTCTGGCTGTGACTAAGTAAGATAATAGTACCCTCCTCAGAGTCTCGCATTTCCTCACAATAATCTGCACTTCAGCACAATCACCACAACTCGATACTCGCTCCTGTCTCTCTAAAAAATCAATTAGAAAACCGTCTTTTCAGTAGTTTCCGTCCGGTCGGAACACTACAGTTCCTCGAGATGTCTACCCCGACTTGTAGGACTATATAATAAGCGATTACTTATCACCCTTCTGTCTCCCCACGATTAGCCTAAAACGCTGACTAACGACCGTTTAAACGTGCTTATACTGACAAATACCTCGTCCGGAACATGCAGTGTAGCTATATCAGATATTTATGAAGGAGTATCAGATAACAACTACCATCTCCGGACAATCAATCAGCTGCACGTTGTAGCTGATCGCTGGGAGCTAATGCACTAAATTGGGTTAACGGCTGTTTAAATCAGTGTTTGGGGGACTTTAAACCGGTGGTGTTATTTAAACAAAGTACACAGATGACAATTTCTCCCTCTCTCTCTCTCTCTCTCTCTCTCTCTCTCTGAAGGCGGTACAGATGGCTCATGGTGGCTGGAGTGTTCAGCGATCTCACAATAATGACCATCACGCCACCAGCATCTAATTATGATCTGGACTCATAGAATCTGTTACCATGGATACATCTATAATAATTCGTCTCCCAACAGCCGTTGCGGACTGCTGCCGTACGTTCATTGTGTATTCTTAATCTTTGTCGCGTCCTTTGTCATGTATATTATACAGTACTACATTACAACTACACAACTCCTGACTGTGTATATTTGAAACTTTATCCTTTTGCGTAGACATGTATTTTTTCTTATGAGGGTCTCTTTGGTAAACGCTCAAGTTTATATGGCCTACTGTATGTAACGCTCATTTGCAGTACTTCTTTCCTAGTTTTCGTTCTAAAAGTTTGGCGAACTGCCTGCATGATTTTTCTTTTTAAAATCGCCACTATAATTGATTAACTTGACCGTCTCATTTTATCAGCTAATTATATCTCACTTACTCACTTAAGTCTGGTGTAAGTGGGTTAATTGATCATTATCATAAATCATAATTGATAATAATTAGGTTCAGAGACACTGGGGCGTATATGGCATCGTGCCAAGCAACGTCTCATGTAACCATGACAACACCTTATCATCACGGCGACACCTTATCACCACAGCAATTCACCTCATCAAGATCACATACCAGACTACTAGCCTAGTTAAGAGTCACGTGATAAATGACGTAGGTACATGGTCCCCTTTCATCTCACAAGCACCTACACCCCTGATATAAGCTTATAAGAAGTATCTGGTTTCTTACCAAATCTCACTTCTCAGAATGTCAGCTTTCTTACCCAACACGGAGATTAAACAAGAGCTGCTCTTCACCCTCGACAAACTCATCAAACACTCCCAGAATGAAGCTCAGCTTTTGAAGTATGCTCTGGACTCCCTCAAGCACAACCCTACAAAGCCTGAACCTGACCAGACGACGGTGGTTAAGGAGGAGTTGGTCGACGTCACTACGGAGGATTTTAGAACCTCCGCAATCATTTCATCTCAACAAATCCCTGTCTCCTGCCCTCCCACTATTGCTAGCCCGAGCACTGCTGAAGCAGCACAAACGCTCCTCCGAATAAAGGAAGAACTAAGTAGAGAACTCCAAAGATTATCACCTAGATATGAAGATGACGAGGAAACTCAACCCCAAGCTAAGCGACCCCGTATCGAACTTCGTCCTGAATTCACTGTGCAAGCTCCAGCAGCCACACCAATGGTGTTAGTTCCAATCCCCGCTGATAAAGTGAAAGAGTTGCTTATGAACGGTGGAACAATCCCTCCAATGTCACTCCTCTCAGCTCTACCCTACAGTCAAGTATCAGAATTCTCCAACATCCCTCCCTGCTCCTCCTCTCAACACCCCTCCACAGTCCACCACCACCCTGAGCAGTCCCCCCAACCTCCCAGTCCTACCTCCTCACTCCACAAATTCACCACCTCTCCTCCCTCAACCTCCCCCACCACCTCTCCCACCACATCTCCTCTTCTATCCCCCACCATGTCCTCCTCAATACTGCGGTTCTGCGAGAGGAGGTCCTACAGAGAGGATGTAGACGTGTTCCACTACCTTCCAGCAGACGCCCGAGCTTCACCCTTCCCGACCAACAAGCCAACTAACTACAGGCAGTTCCTGGACGACATCACCAAGACTAAAGTCAAGATACCTAAACTACCGAAGAGTTACGAAGCACTCCCTAAGCTGAGTCCCGGAATGAACGAGAGGACGGTCTACACTCCGTTCCAGACAGAACGTCTAGAAGAATCCTTCAGAACGAACCCCTTCCTAACCAAGGAGCAGAGAGAGAGGCTTAGTAAAGAGCTGAGTATCCACGCGGGGAGGATTAAAGTCTGGTATCAGAATCGGAGGGCGAGGAAAAGGAGGGAGGAAGTATTAAAGGAGAAAATAGAGACAGCTGCAAGGACTGGATCTACAACTGCATCTAATGATTGAGCAGATGATGCAGGGGAAACTGGACAGAAACTTTGAGAGGAGTGAGGACATACGTCTTATTTTTACTGAAGCCTTATAGTGTGTATATTTACAGAATTTTGTAATTAAATTTGGTTATCATTTTGTATTTTATTTCATAATATGATGAACGTGTTTAGATTTTCCTAAAAAATAACTGCACAGAGTAAAAGTAAAATGGAGACATAACATGTGTACATTCCAATAAGAATACAACTTAATAATGGGTCTTAAATTACTTATTAATCAGAAGACCCTGTCACTCTTCCGTCACTGCTTCAGCATGCTGTCGCACTACAACGTCAGTGTTGCGTCAGACCCCAGCCACTTCGGTGTGATGAGAAAAGTTATTTAGTAAGACCAGATGATGATGTTATTTTAATGTTATCAGTGACAGGATGATTTATAAAATGTTATAAAACATCTCATCAATTTGTGGGTTCTTTTCCAATTATATTAAAGGGCCCTTCTTCTACTATTTAAAACAATTTCGTAAGCTTCGTAATCGTATGATAAGATTTAGCCAAATTCGGCTGATTTTGCAATAACAATTTAACAGCAACAGACCTTTTAAGATAAGTGCTGGAGACGCTCCAGTTAATAAAATACTTAACTCTTGCTATAATCGGTTATCAATAAAGGAAACTGTATCGCTTGTAGTGCTCTTAAAGTTAATGCGGACGGGTAGAATTTATTGTTGTGGGGTAATGTATTTAACTGCAGGTGACAATAAGGATAAATATCAAATTTTGAGTTGGCACAAGTATTGAAAAAATACTTACTTTCATTTTGTCTAGTTCCGAAATAGCTTTATTTAAAAGCGATATTTCCAAGTTCACCTAAAAAGTCATCTTCAGAAACTACCGACCTATTAAATTTAAAGTATTAAAATAGATTAAGGTAACCTAAAGTAGTTATTTCTGCGGAAAGTTATCCCCTACTCTTTAGGGACAAAAGGATTTCGCGGTTATTTTGGCCAAAAATCACGGCACCGCGACAAGCCAAACTAGGCTAATTCGCGGCTAATTCGCGGCGGGAATTTCGAAAATCGCGGCTTATTCGCGGCAAAAAAATCGAAAAATCGCGGCGAATTCGCGGCAAAAAATAATGTATTTACAGTGCTTAGTTAGAGTTCACATATTCTTTGACTATTCTATTTGATCGGCTCATGTCCCATGAGGATGTGATCTCATCATATGATCTGATACAGGCTGATGGGGGTCCATAACAACAAGAGCTGCCATAACTTTTGACATGATCTCAAATGTTGCAATGTCATACGTACTGTATGACATATCTCGTTATCGATACTATATAACTTTCAACAGACGACAGGAGACATCATCATTCGACCATCTACACTTCACAGTTCACAACTATAGCAATGGAATACTATGAACTGTTCAATCCAATTCCCATATCCTAGTCTTTCCCCATCTAGATCTAGTATCCAACCTCTACCCCTTGAAGCTTACATCAATCTGGACGACATCCTTACCCCGGCCCCCTGCACGAACCTTCTAGATTTTCTAACCACATCCCGAGGGAAGCCCATGATTGTTCCTTATGTGGTCTACGACGAGATTACATGCTCTACAAAATAGCTTCCCATTGTCAGCATAAAACGATGATTTGCCAAATTCACTCTCGTGGAAGCTGTTACATTGCCCTGTTTAGCCTGTTTCGAGCGTTTGCTAGACGAAGGTCCAGCCGGTTTGTCGGCAGGCCGTTTGACAAAGCCGTCCATTATAACAAGCGAATACAATACCAAGCGAATAACGATGACGATGACGAAATATCTGACAAGTGACGATTCAATAACAACACTGATTTAACATACAGTTCGATTTCTTAATCCATTGTATGTCTTCTGGTCAACTTTATGTCGTTTGGTCAAGTTTTTTATGTCTACTGGTCAACTTTATGTCGTCTGGTCAACTTTATGTCGTTTGGTCAAGTTTTATATGTCGTTTGGTCAACTTTATGTCGTCTGGTCAAGTTTTATATGTCTACTGGTCAACTTTATGTCGTCTGGTCAAGTTTTATATGTCTACTGGTCAACTTCCATATACGATCTCGGAAGGCAGACCTCCCCTTCGCAATTATACGAGCTCGGAAGCGGGAGCTCCGCTTTCAGAGGTACGTATCGAGAATGACTCGGACAGAAAATTTTCTAAGTCAAAATTTTTCAAAGTTTTTCTGGAAACTACTTTTGTTCATGTTTCATGCTACCCTGATCATTATGAGCCGAAAATATTTTTTCGGTTTTCAAAGGTCACATACCCTTCGATACACGATTTTGGACTCGAGGGCTCCCCTTGTAATGCGATCTCGGGAGGCAGGCCTCCCCTTCGCAATACGAGCTCCGAAGCGGGAGCTCCGCCTTCAGAAATACGTATCGAGAATGACTCGGACCGAAAATCTTCTAAGTCAAAATTTTTCAAAGTTTTTCTGGAAACTACTTTTGTTCATGTTTCATGCTACCCTGATCATTATGAGCCGAAAATATTTTTTTCGATTTTCAATGGTCACACATACGCTTCGATACACGATTTTGGACTCGAGGGCTCCCCTTGTAATGCGATCTCGGAAGGCAGGCCTTCCCTTCGCAATACGATCTCGGAAGCTCCGGAAGCTCGGAAGCTCCGCCTTCAGAGGTACCTACGTATCGAGAATGTACCTACAATCGGAACTCACGGAAGGCTGTAAATGTAATTAGTTTCATATACCTACTTAATACTTGTAGAAAACGTGACATTTGGCCCGCAGATTTTATGGAAAATACGCAAACTTGGTCCTCAGTTTTAAAGGAAAATGCGCAAATTTGGTCCTCAGATTTAAAGGAAAATGCGCAAATTTGGTCTTCAGATTTAAAGGAAAATGCGCGATTTTTCGTGGAGGACTGAAAAAATCGCGATTTGTCGCGGAGAATGGGAAATTTCGCGATCTGTCGCGGAAAACGTAAAAAATCGCGATTTGTCGCGGAGAATGGGAAATTTCGCGGTTTCGTACATGCCGCGAAATCCTTTTGTCCCTGCTACTCTTCAGTACAAGTACAACAGAGCGAAGTACCCTCTTACTACAAAGTAGTTCTCAGTCCAATCCTCAGCGGTATTCCTGTACTTTAGTACCACCACGTGGTTACCCAGACCAATGAGGATTTTGCAATTTCAAGAGGATGTCAAGATATTAGCTGATATCCTGACGGTGGTCCTAGCCGGCAACCTGACTATATTATAACTTTGTAAGCACATTAAAGTAAAAATGAGTCGCGATAACAAAAGGACAGCCCAACCATGATCTCTCCATATTTAGTCTAATGAAGCCGTGCATTTAAATTGAGGCACACGTTACCAACTCATCATCATGGAGTAAGTCCGGATGTCATTGTCATAATATTAAATATCCCTCCTTTTATTCCAGTCACTCAGCAGCAACGCTCTCAAGAAGCCACCGCTGAGAAGCTTGATTTCGAGCAGTCGGATGAGTGGTTAAACCTGGAGATTGAGGTTGCGAGGTTGCAGAAGGAGGTTACAGAGAGGTATTGTTCGTTGCTTATAAAACCTTTTTGTAATTCTCACGTGTTTAGTCTAGAATGATGAAAGCTATTTTATATTTGAGCAGAATTTCTTTTGTTTCACCGGAATTTAATGTTCATACTCTTCCATTCTATTAAAAATATCTCTGAGCTTACTAATTTATGAGGTTGGCACGGGCTTCTGTACGTCGGATACATTTTCTTTGTCTTACTTCAGACTCAGTTTTACACTTGCATTTTCTTTGCTAAACTACAGTCTTGTAACGCACCGGCTCTTACTCCAGCTTATTTGTTAATGTTGCTCAATAACCACCCCGCTCGTAGGGAGGGTATCATCAGGACGCAGAAAGAAGCACTGGACAAGACCCTGTCTAAAGGAGGGTCACCTCGACAAGTGTCCCTGGCTGGTGCTGCTAGACAGGTCAGTTTTATTATCAGTTGAGGGACGGTCGACATATAGTACCACAGTAGACACACAGTAGACACACAGTAGACACACAGTAGACACACAGTATACACACAGTAGACACACAGTAGACACACAGTAGACACACAGTAGACACACAGTAGACACACAGTAGACACAGTAGATACACAGTATACACACAGTAGACACACAGTAGACACACAGTAGACACAGTAGATACACAGTTGATACAGTTGACACAGTTGACACGACGGTGAGATATTGTACAATATTCAGGCGAAAGTCAGTTTTGTTGTGTTGAAGCCAGTCAAAACGAGAAGGTAAATTATTGTTTCATCTAAACAGTGAACATGTAGTCTTAGTTTACACTATACAATAAAGTTTTACAGTTTTCTTATTTTTAATCCGGACACTTTTGTAACCATTATACAACTTCTTGTGAGATAAGTAAGTAAGTAGCATAACCCTGCAGTACGTGTTGTTATAAGCAGCGTAACACTGCACTAACAGTCGGACACGACGTCACGACGTTTAGATGGATAATGTAAATTAGTGCACTTCTCCGTATAGTGAAGGCAGCTTCATCTTCAGCTTTAACGCTGGAACATGATAATTAACAAGAATGTGGCTTCCGTTACAGAGAAATCTAATAATCTAATCTTCATTATCACGTCAATTGCTCGTTAGCAAGCTCCTAGAAGATCGAATAAACGTTCAATTATTTGTCCAATAAACAATCGCCCGATGATCGTTGAACTCTTTTTTGTAGTGATCATAATTTCCTGTTACCATTTTTGTACTTTACGTTTTTGTATTTTACTGCTTTGAAATTTCATTTCATAGTAAAATAATAATATCAGTAAGATACGACACTTATTTTTCTTTTGCATGAACATTCCAAACTGTATAGTAAAAGAAAACTCTGATCCCAGCTCTTTTTAATTAGTACCAAGATTTGACAATTGACATGTTGTAGCCTAATAGTTGGGTCATAATCCTGGATCACCCAAATAAATTATATAGTATCACAGTTCACACCCGTCGGTAACAGTGCTAGAAGTCTCAGCGTGAGTGGTTTGAAGTGGTTGTCAGTCTCAGTGCAAGTGGTATCAAGTGGTTTGAACTGAAATATTTTGCAATTTGCATAAATGGGATAAATTTAATCGCACATGAGTCTAGAGAATATTCAGCTGAAAAATAAGTATGATTGCATATTTCATAAATGCAAAGTTACAGGATAACATTATACAGTACGTGGCACCGGCTCAAATCCTGTATTCTAATTTCTTAAGGTAACAAGTTTGAGATTTGTCGTGCACCGCATCTGTTTATAGGTTGAGATAAGGAACCCGTTGGGACTATAGGCAGTAGCCCCTCACTTTTTATAAGGGATCGATGTGAAGCTTTGTTACATGACACTATTTAAACCGATAACCGTTAGCTGGCTAGTTGGTGTCATGAGGCTGTCGTTAAGAGATTGTGATTTGAATTTATAACTAATTACAACACTACAAATCTTTTACATTTATTGAGCTATGAAAGAAGTTATTGTAAGGTCTCGTCCATGACAATTGACAAAAGCGTGTGTCGAAACGTTGACAAATATTTGTTTTAAGCACTGCGAGTGGAGACTATCACTTCGTCCCCAAATATCAAAAAATTTAACAAGTTAAATGTAGTTAATCGTCCTAAGTTCCTCATTTTGCGACCTCTTTTTCCTAAGATACCTACTATCCTATTATCCTATTATCCTATTATCAACTTTAAACATATTAGAAGCATGGCCATTAAACTCTCTCACAGTGAAGAATACCACAAAGAAACCGCACTATGTTTCCATCGCTCACACGCCTCTTTGAATTATAACATACTACTAAGTTCATTGTGATGTACTTGTGATGTTATAACTGACTTAGCACTTTGTCTTTATATCGAGATAACATCTCTCTTTCCTGGGAAATTTTGTTCATTATTTTTTAGACGTAGATAAACGAATTTTTTTTGGAAGTTATTGAGATTCAGGGCTTGTTGTTGCCAGTATCTGCTTCAGCTTTTGATCTAGACTCCAGCTGGCGCTAAAAAGGATATTCCGCAATTCAGATGTTTTTAAAAAGTAGGTATACATGTTGTGAGACTGGTGACGAGATTTGCAGGTCCTTAAACATATAATCACATATATTACACCGCACCTGCTCTCATATAGATTACATCTAGGTGTGGAATGCAACCAGGCTTCATTCTTAAAATATATCATTTATATATCGTTACTTCTCACTCTCACTCTCACTCTTACTCTTACTCTTACTCTTACTCTTACTCAATTTCGCTGCTTTTCTAGTTATTTTGAATTCTCAGTATATTTTTTTTCAGCATATTGCAAATGATTTTTCAAGATTACTTTTAAGAATTGTAATCACCATATTTGAATCCACTGCTCCTTCTATCTTTCTATAATCAGCGGAAGTAGTCAAGATTGAATCGAGGAAAAGTTTGATATTGAGCTTGAGTGAATCATTAGATCATTGGTAACTAGTTTAGCTCAGCCTTTGTAAAATTACCTAACTATGTAGCAAAGCTGTAAAGGGGAGAGAAAGAGAGTGAGAGAGAGAAAGTGAAAACTGCAGTTAGTATCACCTTGGGGGTACAAAACCATTGATTAAACAACTTCCTGATGGCAGCTTTTTGAAAACCTAAGTGTACTTGCTTCCTCAAAGCTTTTTCGGCACCATACCGTAAAAACCAATCCAATAACTCTTACCGTTTTCTTGATTAAGTGGTAGCTGGACATTACGAACGAACAAACCAACCCACGGAGGTTTCACACTTTCATTGTGTTTTAATATATCAGATTATACAGGGTGTGAGGCTGGAACTAATGAATTAAATATCATGATTTGCAAGTGCTTACACATAATCACATATTATGTTCTGATATAATATATATATATATGAGTATACCTATAATACTTGTAAAATCCCACCGTGTTTTCTGTTATTTCGTTAATTTGATCCAAGCTTTTACATTCACTTCTTTTAGATTTTCCACAATTTCTCCGTAACATAATCTCTTAAGTCTAAGGGTCTGCCCACACAACGAGGCGCGTAGTGTGGGCAGAGTTCCCGCCAGTTGGCGTGGAAACTCTCGGGGAATAGAGGCACGGATTTTTAAAATCCGTGCCAGAATTGACCCACGCCATGTGGCCCGTCACCACATGGCGTAGTGTGGGCAGACCCTAAAACACCTCACTATCCTTTGCTCTTTCTTCATCTTATATTTAATTAAGCATGTTTAACTTGAAACTTGAAATTTATAGCAGCATTTTTAACTTAAAACTTGAAATTTATAGCAACCTGTTTAGCTTAAAACTTGAAATTTATAGCAACCTGTTTAGCTTAAAACTTGAAATTTATAGCAGCCTGTTTCACTTGAAATTGATAGCAACCTGTTTAACTTGAAATTGATAGTAGCCTGTTTGACTTGAAATTTATAGCAACCTGTTTCACATAAAATGTATAGCAACCTGTTTAACTTAAAACTTGAAATTTATAGCAGCCTGTTTAATTTGAAACTTGAAATTGATAGCTACCTGTTTAACTTTAAACTTGAAATTTATAGTAGCCTGTTTAACTTGAAATTTACAGCAACCTGTTTAGCTTAAACCTGAAATTGATATCAGCCTGTTCAACTTTAAATTGATAGCAGCCTGTTTAACTTGAAATTTATAGTAACCTGTTTAACTGAAAACTTGAAATTGATAGCTACCTGTTTAACTTTAAACTTGAAATTTATAGTAGCCTGTTTAACTTGAAATTTACAGCAACCTGTTTAGCTTAAACCTGAAATTTATAGCAGTCTGTTTAACTTCAAATCGATATCAGCCTGTTTAACTTGAAATTGATAGCAACCTGTTTAACTGAAAACTTGAAACTGATATCAGCCTGTTTAACTTGAAATTAGTAGCAACCTGTTTAACTTGAAATTTATAGCAACCTGTTTAACTGAAAACTTGAAATTGATATCAGCCTGTTCAACTTTAAATTGATAGCAGCCTGTTTAACTTGAAATTTATAGTAACCTGTTTAACTGAAAACTTGAAATTTATAGCAACCTGTTTAACTGAAAACTTGAAATTGATATCAGCCTGTTTAACTTAAAATTTATAACAGCCTGTTTATTGATCTGCGAGGTTATTAAAATCTTTCTGGATGCGGAATGACGTACAATTATGTACTATGTAGACTATTCGAATTATTCATCAGATTGTAGTTAAGGAGTTTCTAAAAATAGAAACCAATAACCGTAATTATGGTGACGAGTGACGACACATTTTTGGAATGGATAATATGCACATACCGTCTCTGTGATGAGTTATCAAATTATTCGGTAACGATTCTTGAAAATGATTTGTTATTCAATGCGTTTCAAATTATATTTCATTAATATTTTTACAATTACAGTGATTCAGATAAATGTCGAATTTTTGAATAATAATATTATTGTTATTTGAACATTTGATATTAACCTGAAATTTAAACTGCTACATGCTGGTTACCCTTCTTCTTTAATCAGCGGAAGTAGTCAACATCAAGTCTTTGAACATATTATAACAGTAATGGCTTGGGTAAATGATTGTCTGCTATGTAAATCTCACAATTTGCTGCGCAAGAATTTGCCTTGGTCACACCCCGGAAGACATTAACTTAGGCCGTTTCCTTATTTCTATTCATTGTGTTACAAACCAAGTTGTATTATCACGATTAAAACTTTTAAACCACCTTAATTATAGTCTTGAGCAAGATAATAAATATTTAAATGCTCAAATATTTATTTTCATTGCCTAACTGGCGTTAAATACATTTTCTTGTGTCTGCCAGCGAACCGATTTATTTTCAAGGAAGTGCATCTCAAAAATCATTTCCGAGGAAGTATGTTTACGGTTGTGTCTCGTTTCTTATTTTTAGTTTCTGCACGTTTTTAATTATTTGCAATTTTTCAGCATTCCCTTCTTGTTTCTTTGTTTGGTTTCGTATCTGGAATTTGTTTCAATTTAATTACCAATTAATTTAGCTTTTCGCTCTGATAAGTTTCATTTATAGGAATTTATCTTTTTTTCGCGTACTATAAACCGCACTAAATTCAGTATATCTGTATATTTTTTCATAAAAATATTTGTTTTAATGTCAAAGCCTGTCATAGATATATAGTCTGGTGATGGATAAATAAAATTATCATTGTTGTCAAAAACCCGATATGCTACGTCAGCCGACTCCCTTTAGTTTCTATAGTCAGATATCTTACTCGGTTACTTTCTTTAGCTTTAGGTTTCACTTTTGCAATTCTTAGGTATAATAAACTATTATACCGTGTACATTTCACAATGTATAGCATTTTACAACACCCCGTACTCTAAACTACTGAAACCAATAGTTTTAACCCGTTTTATTTCGATATTGTTCTGAAATTTAAATGAATTTGCAATAATTTCAGGTCAAATCAAAGTTTATTATTTTAATTTTATCTAAATTAACAGGCTCTAGATATAAACGTGTCGGAAATGGCTCGGAAGTACAACGAAGCGCTGATCCTTTGCAAAAATACTCCCTCAAATGATCCTACAGGTTTCTATTCTTTATTCTTTTATTTAATTCGTTTCAAATCAGTTATGAGATTTTTATTTTTAAATGATCGAATACGAAATGATTCCAAAAAGTTCCAATTCTATAGCATACTGTTCGCAAGTATTAACACCACTTATTTTCTCCCTGTGGTTACTGAAACTAATCTTACAATTCACCAGCAGATCTAGATAGTCGTGATTTGTACGAGGAACGACTCCAAGAACTTGAAAGGAAGAACTATCAATTCATCGAGGAACTCGGTGTAAGGTCAGTTTCATGAGGGTCTGTTAAAAATACGCGGGTGTCAGTGAGGGATACGTTTTTAGAGTTATAACAAGTGAAAGGCTTAATATATATATAGTTATATCCCACAATATCACCTCAATTGTATCCATTAACTTCGGGTACAGCTAGTGAAATTGATTGAACATGAGATTAGATGCTGATTGCTGATGAATAACAGGCACCTGGCACACACTCCTAATATGGGCATATATTCTAATATGGGCATCATATATCCTAAAATGGGTATCACGTGTTCTTGCAGGCACACTGATGAGATGGAGAGATTGAGATACGATTACGAGGTGTTGTTAGAGCTGGCTGTTAAGGAAAAGGAGAACGAGATGAGGAACACTATTATTGAGAATGAGGAGCTGGAGGACCTTGCTGCTCAGGTACAATATTACACTCCTTTTATGGGCATCACGTGATCTTTGTTCATTACATGCTGCTCAAGTACTGGTTCCCAAGCTTTATGTTCGAGAGCGTTTTATTGCTGCTTGAGATTTGTTTATTTCAGGACTTACTACGATCATTTTTACGCTACAAGTTTTATATTATTATGGTAATTGGAGTTGCATTATTTTAGAATCGTGCGGTTAACTATTATCTAATCTGCAAAACCTACAGGTGGAGGATTTGACTCAGAGCCTTCAAATCAAAGAAAAGGAGATTAAGAGACAACAAGATACTATCAGCTGTTTGATGGAGGAGATTAAGTTACTCAAAGATAAGAAAGTATCAGGTAAACAGACTTTGATATTATATAGCTTTCGTATTAACTTATTAACAATCGGAGGACATGAGCAACATCCTGATTGTACACATTCCAGTCTTTAAGTTCCAAATGTTCTCTTACCAAGATTGAATTTCAGTGATGATGCCACTCCCACAAATAGTAATAGAAGACCCAGAAGGAGATGTGCAATGTGATGAGTGCTGTAATAAATCTGGAGAACTTAAAAGATTAACAGAAGACTTAGAGAAGGTAAACATACTGACGGTTAAATTAAAACTGCTCCTTAAATTACCCTATGTTTTTTTCAGAAGATGAATCACACCATTTTTACTTGGGTTGAGTTCCTAAGAGTTCCTAAGGAACTCTGAGTTCCTAAGAGTTCCTAAGAAGTATAATGGAAATTATCTTGCAAACAAAACAAATCTTCCATACCCAGTTCTTTATCAATCTAACTAATAAGTAATAAGCTTGCTAATCTTATCTGTCTATTATTTCAGGTAAAGTCAGAGTTTAAAGAGTACTACTCAACCTCCTCAAAAGGATTCGTAGATGCAGACTGTACCATCAAAGATATGAGGACGGTCAATAGAGACGTCAAAAACGACCTCAACTCGATGAAATGTGAATTGGCAAATTTCTCTGCCGAAATCAAAGATGCATTCAGTGCACTAGAGTTAGAAAGCACTAAAGCCCCCGTAGAGCCGGCGCCTCTCGTGGACTGTGCTTCTCAAACTGAACCATCTCCCAAGATCAGTCGAGTGTTACCCCAACAAACTGAACCGTCCCCCAAAAGTCGAGTGTTGCCCCAACCTATCAGTAGAGAGTCCAGTTCTAGTGAAACTGCTGAACCTGTAGATCTATCCTGTTGTAGAGAGGCTCAAACCTCCACCTCAAACCTCTCCACTGACGGTGATGGCAAGGGATTTAAAGAAAAGGAAGCCAAGTACAAGAAGGATATCTATGATCTAAGGGTTAAGCTTAAAGAGTTGGAGGTAAAAATGAACCATATTAAGAAGAAAACTGACGAATTTAAGAACGATGCGAAGAATGAGACCATCTCTGAAAATCTCAGCAATGAAAAGGTAGCTGTTGTTATAAGTGTCGTTTAATTACAACATACTTTTGATTTTCTGAAATATAGAAATATACTGACAAATCTGCCTTCTTGATTAACGTCCGATATTAACGTCTGGCCTTACTTTATTGATAAGCTTATGTTGTAGCTCTATGTCTAAATCTGAGGATGTAGGGATTTATACCATCTTTCGGCTCCCTCTCCATAAGCTTTACGTGTAGAAATTACACTAGCTTAAGCTTTTCCAACCCCCTCCCCTATTTGGAGTTACTAAATTAAAATATGTGAACGATCCCAAATAACCCTTTATCCCTACCAGCTTCTAGACATAGTGAGAGACAAAGAGAGGGCTCTCCAACAAGCGAGACGACTGCACGGGGCCAATGTGGCTACCATGCGGAAACGACATGATAAAGCTGTCGGTAACTTACAGGCCACTATCGATCAACTGACGGTCACTCTCCAGCAGTTTATTCCAGGGTAATTAATTAATTGATGGTTTGATTACAATTAGCTTGTTTTTATCAGCGTATATAAAACACGGCCTCTGGGAAACTTACAGTCTTCATTTTAAGTATGCTAAATGGAGATACCAGCGGTTGGTAGTTATTGTAGGTATATTATACTCTAACTTATTCCCATTTATTAACGACATAGACGTAGAGTTTGTTTCTTAGTTGAGATAAAACGAAAACAGGAACAAAATATGCAAGTGACGTTATACAAATACCCCTAAAAACATGTTCACCAGGTACAACACAGTCAGCACAGACCGAGGACCCACAGACCGGATATCAGTGACCTGTAGACAGGGCAGATTTAGCGCCTGTAAGTACTTTACATTTACAATAACTTAAGTCAGTAACTTTGAATAGGTTTGTTTGTCTGAACAAATTTTCTTTTTAATGTCAAATTTGAACTGTAGATTGAACAAAATAACAAAAAATGTTATGAAATAATCACCTAACACCTTCATCAGGTTCTGTGATAACAGATAATTTGAATCACCGTTAGTACTTTAGTACACTTTAGCGCGGTGTGCTACAGTACTGTTTAGTGACGTTCCACCTTATCTACAATTACAAGAGGAGAGGATTCCAGGACTCCTGGACCAGGAGAAGTCATGGCTCAGATAAAAAGAAAGAAACGAACTCCTCAGAAAAATCTCAAAGATACCAGATGTAAAGTGGAAGCAGGGTTAATTCTCAAAATGGGGAATTGAACTGGCAGTGAAAATAGATTTTAAGCGATAAAAGTTTAAAGTTTATTTTTCCAAAACAACTTCTTGCTTGAAACTTTGTAAATCAGATAGTGCCAGTTATCATGAAATTCATAACTCGCTGAATTGACTTTAACTTCTTTTTGCATTCAGACCGTGCTCTTCTTCAAACATTTATCAAATGTTTAGAGCAACTTGGTAAATTCGAAACTGATACCTTGTCGAGACTTATTCAATGTTTTTATTAATTTTTATTTGAAAATTCTTAGCTTAATGGGTGCGTTTGCTGCTTTGACTTTTTTGTTGATTCAATTTATTTCTCTAAACTAAGCACCTTTCGGGGGGAAGAAGATCGAATATTGTACAGATGATTTTTGTGCTGGCATATGATATCATAATCATATCCGAAGCTAAGATGATAATTTTGTTGAACAGTGCGAACAGAAATAAGTTTCTCATTTAATTTTCAGTAATTATTATCAATGAAGGGTGTTCACTCTCTCCTGCTGGTTCTATTTTCCTCCTCTTGTCTGTCGCATATCTTACGTCAAAACAAGCACAAGAAAAGATGTATACGAAATAAAACTTTTAATTATTAAACACAGATCAACAGTTAATCTTATATGTTGCACTAAGACATAAATCTAATAATACCAGTATAATCAGTTACAAAAAAGACACTTTAATCAATTTCAAACGGAATCGTAAGCTAACTATAATTAATATTGATTGTTGATCAAATCTGTCTTCTTCAAAAATATAAAATAATTATAAGGTATTTACAAGAATTACTGCAGTCTACTGACCCAGCTTTTGTAACCGAGCAAAGTGTCTCTGATTCAGAGACTAACAAACGAAAATATTATGTGATTGAATAAAATTTCGCAGAATAAGTATGAAGAGCAGTAGCACTAATTTCGTTAATTAAGTAACCAAGTAATCAGCAATATTGTAGTCTACATATGCCTCATTCTTCCAGTCTGTTATGTCAGGTAGCCACTCATTCCACCACGAAGACCAACTTGCCACTGTTACCTTGTTACCAGCAGATCCTCCAGATCCAGTTTTATCCTTCAATTGAGCATACCTCAATATAGCTGAAGTAAGTTAATGGTTCTCAAGATAAAACCGCAGGTATTATCAGACTCTGTGCAGGTTCCTGTTACAGGATGTTTGAATTGATACAGGTATTTATGTAGGGTACCGCGACAATTGACCCCCCCCCCCCCCCCCGACAATTGACCTCCGACAATTGACCCCCCGCAAATTGACCCCCCGACAATTGACCCACTATGTAATTACACTGGGATCAATTGTCGCGAAATCTAGGGTTTAGTACGACAATTGACCCCCCGCAAATTGACGGTCAATTGTCGGGGGGTCAATTATCGGGGGGTCAATTGTCGGGGGTCAATTGTCGGGGGTCAATTGTCGGGGGTCAATTGTTGCAGGGGGGTCAATTGTCGTACTAAACCCTAGATTTCGCGACAATTGATCCCAGTGTAATTACATAGGGGGTCAATTATCGGGGGGTCAATTGTCGTACTAAGCCCTAGATTTCGCGACAATTGACAGGGTTAATTGTATTAAATTATATTGTCGGGGGGTCAATTGTCGGGGGGTCAATTATCGGGGGGGGGGGTCAATTTTCGGGCGGTCAATTGTCGGGGGGGGGGGGGGGGGGGGGGTCAATTGTCGGGGGTCAATTTTCGCCCAACCTCCAACGTCAGTGAATTTCAGAATTATCGCAATAACTTAAGTTTTATTAGAACAATTTGCACTCCACTGCAGTATCCAGTCTAAATAAGCAGAATGACGAAAAGGCAGAGGAAGGCTAAAGTTACAAATATGCAATGATCGTCATAACATCAAATTAATTTACGGATTAGATGAGTAAGTTAAAACTGGCACCGCTGCAACTGCATCACTCCCGCTAAATCACACGTCCAATTTTTAAAAATCGTGATGATTAGTCCTGAGGGTATGAAGGTAACGTCAATCGACGCATTTCTGGACGCTGATTTCAAATTACCCCCATGATGTAGGGTAAAAATGCTTCCCTGAGGAGTTATGAGCAAAAATGTTTTGGTCACGTTTTTGGTTTTGTCAAACGAAATAATATGAGCCCAAACGTATGGCACCAAAAAGTTTTCTCACAAGGTGAATCACAAGCTTCACGTATTGTGACTTCTATTATATAGTTAATATTATATAATTTGACCAAAACCCATAATCATGGGTAGAGTGGACCGCTGCCAGTGTCTCTTTTTCCCAAACAAAAGGAAATGATATTAATTTGATTGACCGTTCTCAAATGCAAAATGATACCGAGAATGAAATCGGTCGCTCGCTTTTCCCATTCATTTACAATTGTAATAGATTAAGAAGAACTACCCAAAGGCAGCTGTACTCGGCAAAAAATATTCAATAAACTTCAGCTAATTCAATAAGTAATAACTACCACCCTTACCCCGAAATACTAGGTATCGACCCGAACGCAACCCAAAGAGATTTTTACAGCATCTGATTGATGTAATCAATCGAAACTTATTACAATTCGTAAGCCGTGAATGAATGGGAAAAGCGAGCGACCGATTTCATTCTCGGTATCATTTTGCATTTGAGAACGGTCAATCAAATTAATATCATTTCCTTTTGTTTGGGAAAAAGAGACACTGGCAGCGGTCCACTCTACCCATGATTATGGGTTTTGGTCAAATATCATCGCTTTTTGATTAATGTCAGGGTACTTTATAAAGTCGAAATATAAACTGATATCTTCATTAATAAGGAGGAAGTTTCAACGATTTCGAAATTTTTCCTTTGAAAACATTTCCTTGTGTTTGGGTAAGCATATTGGTCGATCACTGACTGAATTTGCCACTTTATACTCATTCAAGTTGGCATTAAATTTATATATAATGACATTGAACTGTCGTGGTAAAGCAGAATTTAATCGAAATCACGAATGAGCAAAATTATCACCTTTCGCACGTGCAAACTATGAGCGGACGTTGCGTGCGCATCCAATATTGAATCGCCGTAAATTTTTGCGTGTTGGTGTTTTATATATAGTTTGATAAGCATGCAAAGTTTCAAAGTATTTCAAGAAGAACTGTAATCACAACGGCACACCAACGTTTACAGAAAATGGTAAAAACAGCAATTTTCAGTGATTTTAGCAATTTTTAATCAATTTGGGCGTGTCCCCACGTGTGCAACTTTTAAATTTTTAACTTTAAAACTAGCCTAATACACAATTTATACCTATAGGAAGCAGAACTGAGCTCCACAACCCAAGGGATAGCCCAACATCAGAGAATACTAAATCGCAAAATTGACGTTTTTATAAAATAATTCTTCAAAAAAGCACTAACTTCAATGGCAAATATCTTTATGAAGGAGCAAAGTAGGGAAACTTTCCGGTAGATTTTCAGAATGCTTGAACAATTATCTAATATGAAAATGTCCTCAGATTTTGAATAAAATTACTCCTTAATGGTGTAAAATCAGTTTGAAAAGTTGTTATTTTGTCAAAAATCAAGTTTTAAAAACACTTAATTTGATGACGTCATCAAGTGGTGATGATGACGTTAAATTATTTTTTGATATAATTGAAACTGAAGTGTAAACAATTATCTTTAAGACCTGTGGTCGGAAATTGCTGTATCTTTTATACTTTTGAATCTCCGGACACTTAAATTCAGGCTACAATTGACTACATTTGACTGGCAAAGCGTCTATCCCTGAATATATGTATCACGACAATCTATCGTAAAACAGGGGTTCCAGAAAACCCATTTCCCGATACTCCTGAAACACGAAATTTTTTTTACAGTCGATTTGGTCAACGTCTAGACGCCCTGCAAAGTTTCAGATCTCTAACTCAATTTTAACATGGTTTTTAAGGCACCTGAATATGGCAATTTTGGGTTTTTTACCGAATTTCGTATAACATGCTGGCGCGTATTTTGCGCAAATTTCTTAAAAACCTCCACATAATTATTTCTTGTTCCTGTCATCTTTAACATTGAATTAGAATGATTTGAACTTAAATATACCTGCTGAACTACTTTCGATGAGTCTTAATGCCCGAAAAATAATAAAGGGTTATAAAAGTAAAGGGGGTAAATAGTAAAGGGGGTAAATAGTAAAGGGGGTAAATAGTATTGTGAATATAAGAGGCACGGTCATGCTTGCCAGCATTGTGATGTAATATAATACTGTTACTATATAATGTAATATAATTAATAATTATGTAGGTACACGTTTATAGTTATTTTTAGGACTTAATACTTTTATTTTTTTAAATATCGTGGTGACTGAAACATTTATAACAGCAATTTGTTGTACTTGTACTCTCCTTTCACGAGTGTACACGCCATTTTAGTTTATTATTTCTTCTTTCTGTGTTTATGGCCTTTTGTTCTAACCTCATATTTAAGAAATACAAGGTGGGATCTGCTTGCTAACCATGTTGAATGATTCGTTCAACATGGTTAATTACAACAGTAATTTATGTGATTTTATCGATATAAGGTCGAACTTACTACTAAGTTTTAGTCCACAATTAAAATGTTACAATTGTGTTCCATAATACAAAATGTGCATCACCTCTGTCTCCTGCTGAGCAGAACCGCCATGGTAAAGTAAACAAATGTACCTCACCTCCCACGAGACGGAGAATCCACATCTATTAATATACACTATACAGGGGGGGGGGGGGGCAAGTCAATACCCATACGTTGGCCTTAATTTAATAGCTCAGTCACTGAGTGTCCAATTGAAATAGTTCGTTCTGGTATAATTTACTACCACCACTGGTTCGAGGAATTTGTCAAATCGAAAAATATTCGTGTCAATTTTTTTCGAATAGAGGTTCATCTTCGCATTTATTTGATAGTTTGGATAGTCGGATCGAGCCAAATTTTATTGAATTGTGTTTGGTCACTTAAATTACGTTTGTCCTGAAACAATGAAAGTTCTAGCTTCTCAGACGACCGAGATATTAAGCATAACGAGTTTGTTCATTGCGTGTGATCAGGTGATTGGGTTGATGCTATTGCTAGATCCGCATTATGGGAATCGTGCAGAGAGCTCGGACGTCCTTCTTGAAGACACTGGACTGGAACCTGACCAGCTGCGTTTACTCATGTGTGATAGGGATAAATGGAGAGAAGCGTTGACACGAAACTCGTTCCAGATTTCATCTGGATCGACCTAGGCAGGTAGGCAGGCAGAGAGCCCAATTAAACGGTGTCGTAATTGGGTAATCATTGATTACCCAATCAATTTGTTTGATTACCCAAACAAATTGCTTGATAACTTCGTCATTTTAAATCTGTTTCGCAACATCTTTTCAGATTATATTCCGGGTTGAATGACCTATCGCAATATGTTACAAGTTACAACGGAGTCTCTTATAGACTCTAACATGTTCAAAAACACGAGTATACGCAATTCAATGTTGATTGGGTGTCCGTGTGGCCCCCAA